AAAACCTTGGTGTGGCGATGGACAGAAATTTCACATTTGAACCGCACATTGATCAGCTTGTTGCCAGGTCGACGGGCGCTCTGATGGCCCTGTCCCATGTCAAGCATGTACTCCCAAGAGACGCCCTCGTCCACATTGTCGGAGCTCTAGTACTTTCCTCCATTAGATACAGTATAGCACTGTATAGTACTCACGGAGCCACCCAGTTCCATCGCGTGCAAAAACGCGTGAACTTCTGTACGCGGGTTGTGAGCGGAAGGAGAATATGTGACCATATATCTGATGCTGTCAGGGATCTACGATGGCTTAGTGCTGATCAGCTGGTCAGATATCATACATTGTGCCTGCCCAAAAAAGTGTTACTCACGGGTCAGCCACCAGATACAGCCGCGATGTTCACACGTGCTAAGCACACTCATGAAACGCGACAGGCTAGCCAGCTGAGGCGCCCCCGAGCGGTGAGCAACTCTGGCACTCGCCGATTTAGCTACAGAGCATCGGATTTGTTTAACTACCTGCCGCCCGACATGCGTAATGTTCAGAGTGTAGGCCGCTTCAAGCGCCAACTTAAAGAGTTTCTACTGAGTGGGGCGAATGTTGGCACATGAGTGGGTGTGTATGTGAGTTCGATTGTGTGTGATGCCACAATGTGAATGCGATAGTGCGATTCACCGAGATGGTCCCTTGACCGATGTGTGATGCGTTAGGCTATTTTTAGTACGTTTCACATTGTCTCTTTTATGCCCGTTTTTATTACTGACGACGTGTAACTTTTAAAAAAACTGGATCTCGTGGAGTGTTACGAAATATATGAACATGAACATGAACATGATGTTGGTCTGGCGATGCGATCGTGGCTGATGTTGGTTGGATGATGCGATCGCGGCTGATATGGTTGTTGGTTGATACACTGTTGTGGTTGGGAATGCTGCTGAGTCGCACCGCAGGCTTCGGTGCGATCAGTGCACGCACGTCAACATTTGGGCTGTCCACGTTGCTGCTCCTGGCCTCCGCCTGCCTTCCGGTCGCTCCAGCGCCGTTGCTCCTGTCGTCTTCTAGGTTTTAATCCGGGGTTCCTCATTATTTCGGCACCATATTTCACCATATCATTGTGAATTCTGCCAGCGCCAACGGAAAACACACACCTCCGAAAGAGAAAGCACACACACCTACGAGACATCATAAAATTCGGTCCACGCGTTGTTTCCGACCGGCATAAATTCCACCACGCATCGGACGTGCGAGGTGAGCTGGGCTGGCCCACAGCCTGCCAACTGTACGAGCTCCGTTCTCTTAGCTTTCGGCATACCATTCTCAGTACTGCTGAACAGCAGGCTCTCGCCTCTCAATGCTAGGTCAACTCCGAACTTGGTTCTCGGCACCCAAGCCAAGGCACGGGTCAGTCACTCTTCAGTGCGAAGGCTGGGGCCGGCAGGCGTCACTTTCGGCATAGACTTATAAAGCTTTACAACTCCATGCCTTTCAATCACCAAAATTTACCTCTTGCGACATTGGAATGTGTGCGGGCAAATTTTTTAAGAGTTGCTATTACAAGATTACTGTACGTATCTTTATTTCAGGTGTGTATCTTGTGTGTGTAAGTGTGTGCTATGCCTTAACGGGCCACTTTTTTACTTTAAGTATCGCTCATCACATGTCTTGCCATTTAAAGGGAATATTTCACATTTGAAGACACTGAAGCAAGCATCAGATAGGATGAAACAATGTCACACATAACTATTGGTACGCTTTTTAAAAGCAAAAAGATTGCTGGACAGCACAATCATTTGTTTATTGAATTTGCTCCTCAGCACGTCGTGGTTTGATTACGTCATCGTACTTTGCACAACAATAATGGAGAGCCAACTGACGGCCATTACATCTGGAAATCGTGCTCACCAACGCCAGATATGAACGCTGCGACAAACACAATGTTTTTGGCCTTGATCGCCGCATGACTTACGGAATGATAGGATTTGAATGACGCTATTATGACGTCATGAGTGCTAAGATAGCTGAAATACTCTCCCTGATAAACCTTTCCCCATTTCGCGGGTGTGTACTTCAGAAACTAGAGGGGATTAGGTATTAAGAAGGACAGAATTGTTAACAGCACCGAAAGGTCTTCAAGATGGCTATTTTCAGCTCAAAACTCCAGGTAAATGTGGAACACTCCCTTTAACTTTTACGCGACACTAAGAGTGACCAATTTAGACATTGAAAAATACCTTTATTGTCAGTACATACAATTCGTAGCTTGCGCCCAGCGTCAAGGTTAGTTGAAATAATATACCCCAAGGTCAAGTCTTATTCACGACACAATGCTACAGTAGGTTGAAATAGAGACATGCATATCTTCTGAACCCAACAGCCCGATTGCATCTGACCCACAAGGACCCGCAGGCTTTTGATTGGGTTGTGGGCGAGCTTTTACGGGTCAGGCATTTTAACAATAGAAAATTCATTTTTGTTATTCCTCAAGCTTTAACAGCATCGAAAACCCAGAGCAGGCTTGCAAAAGACATAAAATCCTGAAAATATTGCTTTTACTTTTACAGCAAGAGCATCGGTGATACATTACTCATGCCAGTTACAACACACGAATTAACCAGGCTTTACAAAGCAACCATTTTTAAGCAAACATTTCACTCAAAAACTCAAGAATAAGACCACAGATTTTCATGGCTTGGCCTGATTTCATTCAGCAAGCGTCAGGCGGCTCATTAGTACAAATACAGCTGCAACCTGCCCTTGGCTGCTCTTGTGAGAGTGAGGTATACTCACACCTCCTAGGTTCATACCTAAACCATTTGTTAGTTTCACATAGAGCCATATATATATATATATATATATATATATATATATATATATATATATTGTATCACGACAGCTAAACACTCGTATTTTAACACGCTAAACGCCATACATGAGCTATTTGCGTTAGCATATTAGAGATGAACAACATTGCTCCCGTCGATTTGGCATAAATCACACGGTGACATCTATTTTTTTAGTGTCCTGTATTGCGAATGAAGTTGGTCAGGTCCAGAAATATGCTGCTCCCATTGGGCTTCGCCAACCTTGATCTAATTCTCCTTGTAGCTAGCTAAGTTTTTATGGAACACCATACAGTCTCATAGATGAGACGGTAGTAATAGACTGATTCCTCGGAGAAAAAAGTAAGAGAATGAAAACATAGATGGGTTAATGTTCCGACGACATGGCTTTGTCGAAACGGATAGCGAAAGTGAATTTCTGCTTTTCGCGCACTTCTATTCTCTTCCGCTATTCATTTCGATAACCTTTATGTAAGGCATATAAGGATAAAGGCATGCTGCCGAAATACCAACGCATGTACATCTCCATTCTCCTGGTTTTTCTACGAGGAATAATGCTGTTACTACTGTCTTGCCTATGTGAATAACGCTACTCGCAAATGCGCTTAACAACCATACAATCGATTTAAAAGTTCAATCTTTTTGCTATCGCGACCAGCCTGGCTGTGGCTCGAGACTTTCAGTAAAAACCCTGGTGTTCGGAGCCTGTTGGCTGATGTCCGGTGAACTGCACACGCTCATGGCTGCCAGGACGGTAAACGGTCCATGGGCGGTTCAATGATGACGTCAGTGGTGGACGACTGATGACTGAAACCGGGGAAGGATTTGATAGGTTTCGTTCTTTCCGTGCAACACAGAAGAAGCCATAAATCTTAAGATGATTCGAGAGAACGAGGTAGAGATAGGCTGCCTGGGAGTTGTAGGTACTTGGGACATCGAGACTGGTGCTCAGCCACCAGACAAGGATGACGGAAGGGGCGGCCGTCAAGGACATTGGAAGCTCTCCCAAGTTTGGCGGGGAGGTGGTGATAACCATGGCTGGTCATTTTTTTTCAGTCAACATCCATGTGCCCAAGCTAAATTTCAGGAAGTTGGTGGCTGGACCCACCCTGTCCCCCCAGTTCCGACGTTCGCGGTGTCCGCGGACATTCGTTATAAATCGTAATCCATAAAGAACTTCCACAGCACTTTGCGTAGGAGAAAAGTTTTTCTTCAGTTGGGACGGTCAGCCCCCCCCCCCCCCCCAACTCTCTCCAGTTATGCCCCAACCCATCAGGTTAGAGAAAAGGCGTGTCAGATCCGGAAAGAAACCCGTTTGTTGGTGCATTTTGGGGTTGGTTGTCATGGTTGGTTTGGGGTTGTCTGTCATCAGTACGTTTGGCAACACCACTCACGGCACAGTATTCGCCCCACGTCACGTCACGTGACCACGAGGTCAAATGGTCTGTGACGTCACGCGCCCGCTTACGATGATGCCAGAATGCTTTGTCAGCCTATCAGCATGGGGAGGGAGAGCTACCAGGTCAAAAAATCACTGACTGAAGCGGGAGTTTGATTAGGTAGCTCTTGCGCTGGTGATTACGCTGGGTAGAATGGGGAGACTTGCCTCTAATTTTTAGGAAAATGCGAGGTAAGATTGATAAGGAGGGAATTGATATTCCAAGAGTAGTCATGAAAAGGTGAGCGACAGTGATGTTGTGGTGTGTGGTTGCGTTGCCAGTAAAGTAATAGCGTTATAAGTAGACGCTTAAAATGAGGGGGATAACTTTAAATGAATTGGAAATGGGAAGAAGCGTGCAACATACAGATGCAATGCATGATGGTAATACCGGAACAGAAGCCAGACTTCCAAACACCCTCTTTTGAGAGTAGTATGACATGATCGGCGGTAAGCCAGAGTTAGTGTAATGACAGAAGTATAAGGTAAAAGAAGAAGGGAGAGCAAAGTTAAAAAACTTTCCTGTCAACTCACACATCGAGCGCCCCGTCAGCACACGTGACGTCACGCATTCCAGCTGACAATCGCGCTGACGACAGATCGAACGGGGCCCCAGCGCTGCCCAGTCAGGTGATGCCATTGACCGCATGGTGCTGCCACCTGTGGACCGCCCGTGACAACTTGCCGTCGGCGTGTGTCGAGCCCGCGCGCAGCCTCAGTCTTCTCTTGAAGCCGGTGAGGTGTGGTGCGCTGCGTGCTGAATATGACCGCGACCAATGCGATCGAGGTGAGGTTGCCACATCCGGTATGGGGTGGGATACTCTGCATGCTTGAATCGCCGCCTTGGACCACCAGGGCCAAGTCAACTGCCGACATTTGGTGCAACGGGAGCCCTGCCGTAAGCCATGGGCAAGGGTGGGGAGCGGAGCCGGGGCGTGTGCGCTGTTAAGTGTGCACTCGTGATAACGACTGTCGAGTGTGCACATTCACAGACTTTCTTGGGGATATATATATATATATATATATATATAAACATATATACACATACATATGTATATATGTATGTATGGATGCATATTGCCTCTCCCGAAAAGCATGGAAGGTTCCGCCCATGTTGTTTGCAGTCGCACCAAATTAGCTTTGTTAGTGGCCTAGGAGGACGAATTTTATTATCATGGTTACTATTTCAAAGGAGCCGTCAAGTGACTATATGGAGCGACATGTAGGCCTGTTATGTATAAATATGTGTGCATATATATATATATATATATATATATATATATATAAGTTTTGAGTTTTAAAGGATGAAAAAATTGTGCACTACTGTTGGAAAGCATCTTTTAGTGCGGAGAACATAAATGAAGCACAACTAATTGAAGTAAGACGGATTGCTATTTTCATCTTCATACATGTAAGAAACACTCATAATGGGAACATCACAAAGACACAATGGGAACACTATTGTCACAATCACATCGGAAGTGCTCACCGCCCACCACCTAGTAGCTCAAGAGTTCTGCAAGAATTTGTCTCTGTTTAAGGCCGGAGAGTATATATATATATATATATATATATATATATATATATATATATATATATATAAATACGTGATTAATTGTGGCATACCACCTGATTTATTTGCTTCATCTTGTCTCCAAGTTTTCCGTTTACATTTTGATTACTTCCCGGAGTTTTGACCGAAGCGTGAACCATGTTGGAGGCAACTACGGTGCAGAAGAGATCGCTCACACGTGCAGGGGTACGGGTATGCCCACCAATAATTTCACATTTTGACATTAGGCCCGCAGCGGAGAGTACATGCAAAGATTTTGTAACCACAGAATCACTTTTGCTCCTCCTCGCCCCCCCAATCAAATTTGGGAACAGTCGCCTCCGAACGATGGGGCTCCACTTCTATTATTGCAGTAATTTAGCTCGTGGTTCCACGGCCGAAGACAGAACACAAAATTACTGTATCGTGCTTATTCGGGGTACGTTGTGGAAACGAGTTGTCATTTTAAGAACCAACTATTCATTGTTTTAGGAAAATAGATGGGAAGCTTTCCTGGTATGTAATATGTTTTGAGATGGATCGAGCCTATAATTTTTTAAATGTTTTTGCTAAGTGAAAAATCCGGTGAACACAAATTCTCATAATCCCGGCGAATCACAAACGCCCGCCAAATTTTGGTCTTGCCTCCAGCATGAACCAAAATGAAAATACCACCAGCTAGTCTTCACCTCCTTTTCCAAGTCTTTATACGGCTAACGTGTACACTGGGGTCATATCCCTGTTCCCCAGCGACGGAGCACAAAAACCGGACGTGAGATAGGGTCGAGCGGGCCCAGGGCACCAGGACAGATGGCAGTTGACGACGACTAGCCGTAGCCAGCATGCACGGCTCCCAACGATGGAGCGCGGTGCACCTAGACTTTGCACTTTTCCAATGCTCGGCTACGTTGTGCTCTATGCTACATTGCGCCATCTATGAAAGTGTGCGAGGGAATGAATGACTTCTGCAACATGGTTTAGCGCAACCAACAAATCATATTCCGGGGTCAGTTTTCCTTGAAGGTTTGGCGAGCTAACTCTAACCTGTGGACCATGCCATTCTGCCCCGCTCCTTCGCACGGGCCGCTTTGCAGACCACCGAGGATCGCCGGCAGGGACAACGCTCCAAGTCTGCGGAACATGCCATTCTGCCACAGGAGACTGCAGACTGCTGAGGCTCGGCTGTTACGTAACGCGGGCCCCAGAGAGCACAGGCCTGACTCTAATGTTTACGGAACCCCGCCAGCTGGCCCCACGCTCACGCCTGCCCGCTGTCAGCACCTCTGACCACGTGCTCACGATCGCCCGCTGCCACCACTTTTCACTATGTGCTCGGCGGCAGAGACAACAGGGTGTGAGTGTGAGTATGAGTGGGAGTGAGGATGGGAATAAGAGTGGGAGTGGGAGTGGGAGTGGGAGTGGGAGTGGGAGTGGGAGTGGGAGTGAGAGTGAGAGTGAGAGTGAGATTGGGAGTGAGAGTGGGGGTGGGAGTGGGAATCGGAGTAGGAATAGGAGTAGGAGTAGGAGTAGGAGTAGGAGTAGGGATGGGAGTGGGAGAGGAGTGGAGTGGAAATGGGATTTTTGTTGTTGTTTCTTTTTAGCTCATGCTCTTAGCACCGATGCAAATTTTCAGAAAATTGGGATGTTTTGGCCGTCGCCTTCCCCCGTTTTCCGCGCCCTTGAAGTGCTAAGTGACCGCACCACCACTAGAGCGCGGATACGGACACCCTTGATAGTGCAGGATGCACCCGCCCAGCTCGGCCCGTGCCATACGTCTGCGAGACGAGCACGGTCGGCGTGACCTTTGATCCATGAGCGTCGCCTGGCTCTCGGGTCCGGAGGTCGAGAGGTCAGTGGTGCGCGCGCCGGTGCGCCTGAGGCGATGCGAGGGTATCGTGCAGCCGACACTGCGAGAGGAGACGATGGTGCAGTGCCAGGAGTGCCGGCTACGTCATCCGACTCCGCTGGACCGCTGCACCGCCGCCGCGCCGCCATGATAGGCGCTCGATTTGGGTAGCCCCTGTAGGTTGGACGAGCGCGCCTATCTGTACTAGGATGAGAGCGGTCAGACAGAAGTCCGTCAGTGGCCTTCGAATGTGACCTCCCTTGTTTGGTCGCGAGTCATCGTGTGGGCCCATGTGAGAGGTTTCTGTTGCATGCATCGGATCAGACCGCTGGCGGCTAGCGTCGCTGGTCAGGACCTCAGTCAGTCACTCCTCTTGCCGGCGGTGCAGGTAGGTGCCGATTAATCCGCACCTTCCACTGCGTATGGATGCTTGCCCGGTATTCAGAGAAGGCCGCTTTGGGTTTTCGCCTGAACAGCCACCTATCTTATGAGAGCTCCGTTTTCAGATTGGCGAAGATGGCCAGGCATTTGATCTGAACTGTTTCTGCGTGCCCAAGCACTACGAGACGGATCTGGAGTACGTTCTTATACCATATGGTGTCATTCAGGACAGGTAAGAGACAGACGCGCCCAACATGCCAGTTTTCACGCCCGAATGCCTCCGTGGATGGAAATTATGATGGTCACGGCAACATTCCTGCGACGAACAGTTCATAGATTGGAAAAACAACGCACATGATCTCAGCAAATCTTGTACTTGACTCTACTTTTAATGAACGCTTGCAAAACAATAGTGGCAACTTGCATTAGCTACCATTTTTAGTGGGCGAATGGAGATACTTCAAACTCCAGCGCTCTCTTGCACTTAAAACCCCGTTTTGTTTGTTCACGTAGCCGTGATTCGCCTTCCCCTCAGGGAAGGTTTGTGAAGGTCCAGGTGGATAGACAGAACTCTTTTCAGAAAAATATGTGCTCACATGCAGCATGCAAAGGCGGAACAAGCCAGTTACTTGTGGGGGAGGGGCCAGGTGAATGCCTGGTGGTCCAACCCAAGCTGTAATAAGACAGTTTCCCGAAATTTGAGTTATGCCAGGTTGTCTGGATAGACAATCGGTAACAGGTGCTGCAGCAGGCGTCCGCCTACTTTACTCACCAACGCGCAGTAGTATGGATCCTGCGACGCCGGCGCTAACGGACGACTGGTGAACAGAAGGCTGCCGAAGTTTTGTCGTACATTATCTTGAAACTAACGAGTTTGAGCGATGAGAACAGCGGCATTGGACAGGGGTCAGTCCACTACCTCATTGGTGTGTGGTATACCGCATTGTAGAACACTCGCTAGAGGAATTCGTCGTTTGATGTGCAAAATTACATAGTACCAGCACGACCTCAGCCACTATTTGCAACGTATTTACGCCATGATTTAGCTACAGAGGAATCGAGCTCGATTCCGGACCGACTCCAGTATTGTTGGAACCTGATTGGCTCTATTCGTTATTCGACTATATATATATATATATATATATATATATATATATATATATATATATGCATATATATATATACATACATACATATTACTCATAATTTATTCGTTTTTAAATCATTTCATTCATCCGGTGACGCCAATCCGGTGACGTCTGGTGACAGATGTCGGATCAGAGTGGCAGCGGGTTGACGGACCGGCCGGTGACGCCTGGTGGCAGATGTCGGATCAGAGTGGCGGTGGGTTGACGGACCGGCCGGTGACGCCTGGTGACAGATGTCGGATCAGAGTGGCTGTGGGTTGACGGACCGGCCGGTGACGCCTGGTGACAGATGTTGGATCAGAGTGGCGTCTTTGCAGGATCGAGCGGCTGGCGCGCGACATTTTCCAGGAGTTCGGCCAGGAGCCGCTGACGGCACTCTGCGTGCTTAAAGGCGGGTACAAGTTCTTCTCCGACCTCATGGACAAGATCAATCAGCTCAACTGCAACCAGGGCCAGAAGTCCATCCCTGTGTCACTCGACTTCATTCGTCTGAAGAGCTATGAGGTATTCTTCTAACTCTTCCGGGAGACACATAAGTAGAGACTGCTGGAGCTCGTTCTCGGTCATGTGACAGAGTAATTCAGCGCGATTTGGTCAGGAAATTTCTTCGGGTCGGCGTATTTTCCTCAAAAATTTCAGAGAACCCATAAAGGCCTGCGTCTTGCCACCTCTTTTCGTTTCGAAGCTGCCATATTTACCCGGATGGTTGATTTAACACGTTTATCAGCGTATGCGCACTGCGCGTCCGCTAAGATACGTAGACGCATACACTTGCTTTTGGGAGGGCACTTTGTTTCGAACACGAAGCTTTTTTTCATAAAACCAACAGACAGACATGAGGCTACAACTACAATGGCAGGTCACCGATAGCACTAACCAAAATTCACAGATGAAATAAACCGGCTTGTTGATAGTCAGCAGTTAGGAACGAGTCAGGATGTTGGCAATGCCTCCGCCCTAATAACCAGCACGAGCCATACCTTGTAATGCATGCCGGAGGTTTCACTGCATGACATATTTTTTTCAGAGAAATCCAGCAAGAGACACACTGAAAGTAAGTGGAAGGCATTGGTGGACAATGGTTGGGTATATTGTGTGGCCGTAACCAGTACAGGAATATAATAATAGGTTTGTTAGGAATTTCCGTGCATGCATCTCAAAAAGACCCATGTTTGAACATGAAACTCGTTTGGATTGGGTGACCTATCGCGAAGGCTATACAGGGCAATACGATCAGTTGTCCAGTTACAATCTTGGATGCACTCAAGTCCAGTTACATCCTAGATGTTCGCGGACAAGGGGAGTCAGCCTCTCATTTGTATTTCTAATGTGCGAGCATAACCTGTCGTGTGAGGTGCAAGCAAACGCGACACATTTGCTTTTGAAGAATACCACTGGCATGATGTAGCGAAATATGGTGTCTTGTACACAGCTCATTTGAGCCTTCATTTAGGTGCGCGGCTGGAAGTCCGTGCAATGAGACATATGCGTATTTTCGATTGGATTCAATATTTTGCTCCTATAATCGCTACAGAGGCGCCAGTCCAGTCATACTGTCATCAAATACCCAGAGTGCTCTGTCCGCTTATCTTGTCATCAAATGCCCGGAGTGTTCCGATACTGTCCGCTTGTCTTTTTGTCCGATTGTATTTGCTTCCGGAAGACTTAGATAAAACCGGTCTCGGTTTTTTCATGTGGCTGTGCAAAACTGTCATTGCTTTTCACAGAACGACCAGTCTTCCGGCCAAATCCAGATTTTGGGCGGAGACAACCTATCCACGCTGAAGGGACGCAACGTGCTCATTGTGGAGGACATCATCGATACTGGCAGGTAACACCGATACTGGACCAGACCGTCCTCATGATGTCACGCGTCTGGTGCCATTTACCACGAACATTCACAACGCATGCCTTGGTGGAAGGCGGCGCCAGTTCACCATCCACTGAGGCATTCAGGAGGGGAAGCTGACTCACAGCTCATATGACTCAGGTCATAGTAATGCGTTACTTGCATTGTATTATTGTTCAGGCGGTCGCTTTTTAAAAAGTTCGCAGTCACATTTTTTAAAGAATTGTCAGTTAAGGACAAGCTGTTTCATCGTCAAAGAGAATACCAATTTCTGTAAATACCATTCCTGGAAACGCATTTAGTGTACAATGAGCCACCTCTCGCAGACGAGGGCACTACGAAAAAAACAAACACACACAAACGCCTGCGCGCACGCATGCGCATCTGTCCAGATGGTCTCCGTCTGAGGCTGAGGCCGTAGCTCGAGCTGAGTTGCTCTCCTGGGCCGCTCCGGAACCCTGGAACGCTGTGTGACTGGCGCTGGACGTGCTGCCGTCGCCGGCAGGACCATGGTGAAGCTGCTTAGCACACTGGAGCGGTACGAGCCCAAATCGGTGCGCGTTGCCAGCCTGCTGGTCAAACGCCGAGAGGACAACGACCGGAAGCCGGGCTTCCTTCCTGAATGTGAGCACGGCTGGGTGCAGCGGAAACAGCTATACTGTACTGCAGGCAGGCAGCGAAAACGGCTATACGTAACCCGATTTTCAGCGTTCGTTGGAGTTCGAATAGGAGAAATCTAGCCCCGTTCCGAGGCACAGGAGTGGAAGTAACTTGTAAGATACACGAGCCAGATTGGGGGCCGACCTTTTTCACATATTGCAATATGGCTGACCGTATATTTGCCTCCCATGACAAATATTGACTACGCCGCGCAGCCACGCCGACATACCCGGGCTGGGTGATCATACTGCGTATGACCGATATCGTAGCATCTGCCAGCGTCACCACGTATGATGCCTATCAAGGCTGTTCTTGTGATGCCGGTACCCAGTGTTCCGCGCTGTTTTGGTGACCACGCAAGCTAACGCTATTTGATCGTGCTTTTCTGCAGATGCGGGATTCATAGTGCCGGATAAGTTTGTAGTCGGGTACGCGCTCGACTATAACGAGTACTTCAGGGATCTGAACGTAAGTGCTCGGTCCGTTTCGGAGTTCAGGAACTGCTTTGAAATACAAATATTTCTACTGACTTTTAGTTGTTGAATTGCAGATAATTGGCTGGAAATCTCAATCAGGCAGTCATATCCAGCTGTCGGGGAATTCGTTAGCAAGGCGCTTTACAATGCCGTGAACGTCACACGTCTTTTTTGGTTTTTGGTCTACTAGTTTGCATCGTTTTCCGTTAAAGATCCCAGGTACGCCATTTTTTGTTGTGTTGCAGCGTGTGACTATTATCATCTTTTGTAGTGACCAATGTGGTGGTGTTTTCAGCATGCGTGAGGCACTGCGGCCATATACCTCTGTGGGGATTAAAGGAAGTGTTTTACATTTATCTGGGGTTTTGAACTGACATAGCCATCTTGAATAACTTTCGGTGCTGTTCACACCCCATCCCTTCCTAAGACCTAAGTGCCTAGAGTCTTTGAGCTAAACTCCCGCAAAAACGGGGAGTATATTTCGAGGAGAGCATTTGAAAGTCACCTTGGCATTCATGACGTCGTAATGGCGTCATTCAGACCTTGCTTTTCCATGAGTCATGCGGCGATAAAGGCCAAGCAAAGTATGATTGTTGAAACGCTCATATCTGGCGTTCGTAAGCACGATTTCCAGATATAACGGCCGTCAATTGGCTCTCAATGAATGCTGTGGAAGTTACGATGACTTAATCAAACCACGACGCACTGGGAAGCACATTTACTATACAGAGAGTTGCTCTATATAGAGCAGTCTTTTCCACTTGAAAGTGTACCAATAGTTATAAGTGCTTGTCTTATCATATCAGTATGCTTGCTTATATATATAGATATATAGATATATATATATATATATATATATATATATATATATATAAACGCATATTGAATGTATATATATATATATATATATATATAATTATATATATATATATATATATATATATATATATATTAAAATGTGAAACATTTCCTTTAACATGCACTCGATAGGGTGCAATTTGACCCCTCAAAGGTTTTTGCAACTTAGTTTTCGAACGGTGAGGCATATAACCTTGGATAAGTGTAGGTAATTGAATAGCAGATCTTTTGGTGCGAATAGATACACATTGCAAGGTTGCTGACCTATGGCGGGTAAATCAGTCCGTGGCTGTATGCGAAGACAATTTCTAGGCAATCATTCAATCTGATGCGACAACGAAGTGTTAGACAAAACATACATACTGAAATAGTTTCTTTGACAGTAACACAAATTAATTTCGGAATGCGACAAATTACATTGACCTAGAGTCAGGTATAAAAGCCAGACCACGGTCCAAATCAACCCGCTTTTTACTCACAATTTTGTTATTGGCATACTTGTAAGTGTAAAAGCCTGCTCTAGAGAACACGGTTTCACTGTTTAATAAATGCGCTCCTTAAAAGTCATTGACTTATTGCGTCATCAAACCTTGCACAGCATTGACTGATAAGCGAGGGTCAGGGTAGATCACTGACCTGAAGGACACAGGTTGACGTTTTTATTGTAGTAACGTACCACTTGGCGTAATCCTTGATGTTTATCCAAATGCAAAACTTAAAACAATGGTCGCTTTCACAATTGGTTAATGCAACGCAAACTTAAAAAAGCTTTTAAGATGTTTCTATGAAGTTATTGCATATACTGAACACTCTGGCAAGGAAAAGATTGTTTTCATTGAATGTCATTAGCATGCGATAGGTAAACCACGTGTATCCGACAAAGAATAAGTTCGTTGCATTCTTTATGGACACTCCTTCAGCCCATGTCTTCAGGTCGCCCAAATTCTAGAAAAACACTAGGCGTGACAGTCAGCGGTGGGAATCGGTCGAGGGCGTCGGATGATGGCTGTGCCATTGTAGCTTACATCGATGCTGTGTGGAGTAAGGCGGAATTTGATTGCCATCGAATTCAAGAGCCATTTATCTGGCATCACGTAAGCGCATGTAAGCCCTGTGAGCTCTGTATGTACGCTCTGCCAGCTCTGTAAGCACTGTAAGCTCTGTAAGTGCTGCATACTTATAAATAGACACTGCAAGGCTATGACATTTGTTGTTGGGTCTGCCGCCGGATTTGTAACCAGTTTTGAAGAACTTTGGCGTGAAAAATCTGCCACCGTACCCGTCCATAAAACCATTATCCTGCTTACAGCCAGCTAACGACACAATTGTATTAAATTGTGCGTCTTGACAAACATGTTTTTTCAATGGCTGCGAAATATTTGCCCCCAAAAATTGCTGATGAAAAATGTTTTGTTAGAAAATCAACGCTGAAAATTTTTAAACAGCCTTGCACCGTAATCCTCCGTAAAAGCGGCTAATACCGTATAGTTTTGGTCACCATGCCCTTCTAAAGGTCAAATCAGGTCGCTGACCGTAAATGCACGCCAGTGAACGTTTGCTTTCAGAACAGGCATCTCTGTTCAAGGTGGTTGCATAAGAAGGTGGGGGGGGGGGGGGGGGGGGGCACTTCGGACATCAATCTAGAGTTTGACCTTGTTTGACTTTGTTTGACCCGAAGGTCATACCAATGAATCTCAAATTTTGACGCATGAGTTAACATCCAGGCCAACACAACCTGCGAATTTATTTTTTTCTAGCTCCCTTGGTTTATGACATGTCAGTAGGCCTAACTGACCCCCACCAAAGTGAGGGATATTCAACCGGTCACCCGGGCGCGCGTTAAAGCCCCATTTTTAGTTGATAGCGAGCAATCAACCGCTTAATGCGTGTCCGTCTCACCCTAGACTTGGTGTTCAACGGGATCAAGTGTTTAAGCGGTGGGTGAAAGGGGAGGGAGTGAGTGGAGCTTTTCATGTGCAGTCTTAAAGGGATTGTTCCACATTTGAAGATATGGAGGCAAACATTAGATGTTATGAGATAAGCGTACTTATATTGATTTACAGGCTTTCACAAGTGCGAAAGACAGCTCAAGACAGCGTGCGTTCACGTTTTAGTAAATATGATCCGAATACGTCATCATTTGATTACGTCATGGGACGTGTTAACGACGGCAGGGTCCCAGACTGACTGTGTCAGAATTGTCACTGTAGTGGACGGGCTTATTTATTTGTAATGGTTAAGTGTGCCGAGAGGTGGGATGTTAACTGGTGCGTGTTTATTGAACTCGAACATTTCTTAATGTACTGGTATTTTGACCCTTTCTCATGGTGGTCTGGTATATTGGCCGTGATTTTATATGCTTTGCTTGCATTCACACGCTCGGCTGTACCATAATTTTGAAGCTTTTTTAGATCCAGTCTTAATTCCGTCCTAACACGTACTACTGCGCGAATTCCTGCATTACGAAATTAGTTGAGAGGCCAGATGAGGTCCGTTGAGACCCCGAGTCCTGCTGACATACGCTAGACACGACTAATTCGATGAACATATCTCTGCTGCCCTTGATAATTACGTAGCTATTGAGGTAGTAATTTGCGTGACGTCTCTATAACGTCATACATGTCTGGGTGATCTTGAAAAAGTTTGCACATGTTCGCGGACGTGAAGGTAAAAAACAAGAGGGTTTTAAGTCTTAGAGGGGCATGGCTGTGAGCTGCAATGAGTGATCTTCAAAACGGCTGTCAGTTCAAACCCGCATACAGATGTGGAACACACCCTTTAAGCAAACTGCTAATTCGTTCGGCATATTGGGAGCCACCAGCCAAGTTCCCACGATTCCGCGGCCCTGCGAAAAATTCGTGCCAGAGGCCTCCCTTTAGGGGGAGATAATCTCCGTTAGGTCGACGTATAACTGTGCACGTAAGCTCTTTGTAGTTTTGCAGGAAGACCACTCCACCCGTCGAATATAAGTCATAATCGATGTGGACTGTGAACTCGGCATCTCAGATTTGTTCTCATTGCTGAGATGTTCGGATTCTTCACCAACAAATCGCTGTTTTTGCGAAGTTCTTTTATCAGACTCCCTCTTTACGAGGATAAAATATAAACATTTACTTTGATATTATCCAACCACGGTCAAAGTGCTTTCAACTCAATTTAAAATGTTAGTTTTAGACCTTGAGGGATTTTTCGATCTTTTTAATTAAAAAAAAAAATGAATTTTTCAAAGTATTCCAATCGGCGAGAACCATAGCGATCATGCTTCAGCTCATGAAGAATGCTTCGTCGGACGTTGGCAGGACCGGACCTCGTGGCCACACGCACACACACACACACACACACACACACACACACACGAATAATTCATTTGCCATTTAAGCTAAATATCCGGCCACCCGCACACTTTTGACTGCCATATCTTTGGTGAAATAGTGCTCTTCAGCGTTGACCTTGTTTTCTATCGTTAAAATGCAACAAAAATAAGCTGCTTGCTGTATTCTTTGAGTGCCTCAGTTGTACCTTATATTGTCGCGTTCAGGGACGACCGGTTCCGCGCATTCATTGCGGATTAGCCAGGATTTGATCATCTCCCCTTACTTTTGATATTGCGAACGGTCTCCCCCATTTATGGCCGTTTGGAACCCTGCACAACGATATTCTTATTCGTTTTTCAGCATATCTGCGTTATCAGCGAAGAAGGTATCAAGAAATACAGTCAATAACATTACCAGCACACCTGGAGTGCACACCGGATGAGCAGCACACAGCGGCTCCCATGGCCGCTGACCGCCGGTGTCGCGGAGTCAGCTCCCTGGGCGTCCCGTTGGCCCAGGTCGGAGTGTTTTAGCTATCCCGCCTACCGCCAGTACCTCTGTAATCGCTTAAATGTGTCGTTCAGGCATCACTTGAAGGACACTGCTGAAGTGATTAAGGATTTTATTCTAGGAAGTGTTCAAAGCGATGCTGATTGAGTTTTGCATATATTGTCAATAAACTTCGAATACGATCGACTTCGAAGCGCATTTTGATCGACGATAGCATGGGATGGGTCCTGACCTGATGAGGTGGGTTCTGACCGGATGAGGCGGGTCCGGACCGGATGAGATGGGTCCCGACCGGATGACGCGGGTCCGGACCAAGTGAGGTGGGTCCAGACCAGATGAGGTGGGTCTGGACCAGAAACGCAATCTTTCAACCCGCCAACTCGCCAACAGCTGACCCGCAAAAATTCGCGGGCTCTTGGCCGAGTCGCGGGGCCGGACTTCTTGACTTGGCTTGGCGGGCTTCTTGCAGGCCAAAAATTTTGACAAGCGAAACATGTTGGGTTTTGACATCCCTTAGCTTTAAAAACTAAAAAAAACGCAAACAACAGTGAGCTGTTGAACACAATACAATTCTGAAAAAATCTATTTTTTTACGCCAACAGCACCAGTAACAGAAAACCGACAGCAGAACCAGTAAACCAGGCTACGTAAATTTAGGAGTTTAGGTTAACATATCGCTGAAAAAAATCGAGAAGAACAGCCCATATTTTCCAAGCTTGGTCTAATTTCACTGAGCTGTAGTTAGATAAGCCATTGATGAAGGGACAATAATACACTGCACCTGGCTGTTATTTTGAGGAAGAGATGCTTTAAGGTTTTCTTGTTTCATACACAAACCATGCCTAACAAATCACAGTCAATATCAATAATCAATGAAATGAACGGGAAACTGCGTAGGTTTCGTTGCCGTAGCCTGACACACTTGGCGATACAACCAGCAGTTAATGGTCTATCAAATGCACAGCAGTTGTCAGAACTGAAAAAGTGAGTAGAGTTCCTTAGTTTGTCTTTGTCATAGAGTTAATCTATTGATACGCAAATAATATGCAACTTATGACGGCGATAATAGGACTCCTACATATTACGCTTTTTGCCCTTAACTACCATTGTGATTAGTTTTCAATACATATGTCCAATTATGGCTTTTGGCCTGCCTTCTTTTTTGGATCTCTCAGTCCCTGAATCTGTATACAGGCATGTGCGAGGAAAAAACTGAGCATAATTTCATATCAACACACGACGCTCAATAAACATTCTACAAGGATCAAAGGCTGCCGTCCGAACGCGATGTGAAATATGAAGAATTCCTTGATATTATTCACAACTTTTTGGCTGACAAAATTCGCTGCAGCAACTCAGAGTACCTCGCGCTTTTGCAGCATTGCTAGATATCAATGATGCCATTGGAGTGGCGAACATTCGTGAGCAAACCCTTATTGCTGTTCTTGCTTGTACGCATCATCACACGAAGGACGCGGCGATGGTTGTGGGATGGAACATGGGTTGTGTGATTCCCTCTTATTAAGAGTTGTTGCATGATGTATCCACTTAAAGATAGCAGACACCATGTTCGAGACTGCCTCTGGCTCTTGAAGGCGGGATACGATATTGTGGCGGCTGTGACGCATTCCAGTCGTGTTTATGCTTACGTGCCGTGTAATAAAATGAGGAGGCTTCCCACGACCTGAAATATTCAGCATTTTTACCCTGTCGGCGAAGGTCGTCAGTTGGTGCATGACATTTTAGAAAACACGATCTCGGGTCTGTTGAGATGAAGTAGCAAGGGTGGAATGCCTAGCACATTTTAATGATATAAGGAGTAATGACAAAATTCAAGTTGCAATTACTTAGTGCCTGTGGGTTAATGAGGGGTCAGCAAGGAGCAAAGCTGACTTTGCAGGCTGAACCACCAGCTGGCCGAAGCGGACCGGCCATGATGGGCTGAGTCCGGACCGGATGGGCTGAGTCCGGACCGGATGAGTTGGGCTCGGACCAGATGAGGTGGGTCCGGACGGGATGAAAAGGGTCCGGATCGGATGAGGTGGATCCAGGCCGGATGAGATGGGTGCAGACCGAATGAGATGGGTCGGGACCAGATGAGGTGGGTCCGGAGGAGATGAGATGGGTCAAGACCATAGGCTTTGGAACGTTTCAAAAAAATGGGGGGGGGGGCAAGCTCAGGGTGTACTTCAGCAACTTTTTCTGGAAAGCGAGCCCGATGACGGGCGTAGGGGGGGGGGGGTAGGGGTAGGAATGGAGGTTGTTATCGCTCTTAATTTACATGTCGTGGCTGCTTTGCTAAATATGCATCTAGAGCTGTCTCTCACTGGTGTACAATCTTGCCCATTCGATTCATCTGTCATTTGGCAAATAAGGCTATTCAGCTTCCCAAGATTATTCGTCCATTTTAACATTGTCTTTCCTGGGGAGGAGAGATTCCACGAACGGGTAGGCATTTTGGGTCATTAAGGAAGCATCTGCCTCCACAGTCTAGATGCCAAAATACGGCCTGGATATAGGCTGGCGAGAATGTTGAAAGTGGACCGATGACTCACAGTGCGACAGATTTTTCATCCGCCTTGATTTCGCTGGCTGCTTTTCAAGAGATAAGACTTGCAGCAGCATTTTAGGCAGAAGCAAATTCGGGAACTTGAAACTGCCAGAAGCGATGTGAAAAACCATAGGACAGGTGATTCTATTTTAAAAACCAAGCCACATAATAAGGCCCATTTGCTATATGTTCCTCATCTGGGCCCTGCTCCCGTTCGCCGTCGGCGGCTACTGCCCGGGCCCGGGTGTCTCCCGCATGAATGACTGCGAACTGATCGTGAGGCTGCTTCGTTGCATACTTTTGGGTCAGGGTTACTACTACATTGCGTATGAAACATGTGTTGGACACCTGCAACAGCATCTTTTTTCCGAATTATCTTCCAATACATCACACCACCTCAGAAATTAGCCTCCGGCAAGCTGTCTGCCTTAGGTATGCATTGGCCCAACGGACACTTCATTGGCCATCATGCAACGCATACGGCTTGATCTGCTTTTGTGTGTAGGCAGGGGCGTAGTCAGGGCCTTGCCAAGGGGGAACACATGGTTGACAAAAGCCCATCTTGTGGTGATCCCCCAAAATATCCCCGAATATAGCTTACTTGTTAACAAGTGACACGGTTTTCTTGGTTTTATTGCTATTTTTACCCCGTAACCAGAACAGAAAACAGGAACTACCGTGAGCTCAATTCTGTTTGTATTTTGAGGTCAATAAGCTGCAGAAATCAGGCGTTAAACGACTACATGGAATAAATCACCGGCGCTCTTAATTTACAATGCTCAGTTGATTCTTTCAAAACCGATAGAATTCAGAACCTTTGTAAGAGTTTGTTATCTGGGTTCTACATTGAGGACATCGCGAAGGTAGATTGTAGATCGATATGTTTGATCCAAATTCGAAGATAAAAATTTGATTGCAGATTGAGTAGCCAATAATGTGTATTAACGTGGCCAAGCCATGTTTGTCCGAAAATGTTCAGCATTCAGTTAGAATCGATTAGTGATACAATTTATGTAACGCGTTTTTTAACTTTAAAGCTTTAATCGACTAGTAACGCAAGTCATGCGGCGCAGCTTTGAGCATGCGCACTAGAAAATCTCAGAAACACAAGCCTCGACCCCAGGCGTTGCAGTCTCCGTAGGCCGCGCAGCGTCGGTCTGGCAGCTAATATCAAGTTGTGGCCATCGGGTGGACGAAAATGACGACGCTTCTGAAAAAAATATCCTTGAACGCTTCATGACATCAGATCTTACATTTAGACGGCAGTCTGAGGGCATATTTCACGCGTACAATTTTTAGGCAGATGAAAAGAACGGATTGGGCCTTAAAGCACGGCAAAGTAGGGCTGGAATCTGGTGGTTGAACTGGAAAAGTGAAGGCAGAATCTCTATTTTTCGCGTTTTTGCAGCTCTTCATCCTACTATCTAGATACTATTTATGACTATTTAGACAGCCTTGTGTTTATCTATCCAGAAGACAGATTAACACGGCGCCCGCCGTCTGGTGGCACTTGCAGCGGCCGAAGCTTTTCGGTTTTACGGAGGTTGCAACCCAGACCATCCTTGTCCTTGCTCGCGAGGTTGCGGGCGGGCATGTTCAAGCCTTTTGATGTAATTTGTTTCATTAATACATTCTGAACGAATGAATGTCCTCAGACAAACATGACATAACTCTCCTCGTTTTCTTTAAGCTCATGTCTACCCACCCTATTCAACAATAATGATGCCTCAACGCTACTCAACAATAATTAAACCCCTTATTTCCTTCTGGGCAAGGGACCTCTTGAGTAGAACACCAGGGTTACATTACCGTTTCCGGTCAAGGGCTGAAGGGCCATTCCGTCCCATCGCGAGTGGCTTCTGGCTATCATTCTGGTGACACGAGGCGGGATCTCCTGGTCGATCCGGAGGCCATTATAATGATATATCATATCACATTGCTCCCATCCCTGACACGGGAGGCCTTCTGACCCGCGCAGTTAGCCCCGGATCAGCACAGGGACGCTCAATGATGCAACAACATCCCTGATCACCGCAGGTAGTCCAATAATTGTCACACAGACTCCAGTTCCGTGTTTTTCGGTGTTCCTCAGACATATTGAGTTCCCCCTGACCGTAGATTGTAAATGAAATGGGGTTCCTAATTCTTATTAACGTGGCTAACCCATGTTCGTCTTAAAATGCTCACGATCCTGTCAGAGCTGATTGCTGATAAGAAAACTACGTAATATGGTCTTGAGCATGCGAGCTCGCAAGTCATAGCAGCAATGGCCTCGATGCCCGGCGTTGCAGTCTCCGGGTCATGCGGAGTTGGCCTTGCGGCTGTAACACTAAGCAATGGCCAATGAGCAGACAAAAAAGATGATGCATCTTAAGGGAGATGGCTGGTGAACTAGGTAAATCGGTATGCATGTTGAATGTACTGCAAAAGTAAGCCAAATGCAACCTTAATCTGAAAAGTGGGGGGAAGAGGGGGGGGGGGGGGGGCAGTTAACATTGCTGGCCCCTCCTGGCTCCCCCGGTTCCTACGCCTATGGTCCAGACCGAATGAGGTGAGTCCGAACGGGATGAGATGGATCCGGATTGGATGAGGTGGGCCCAGACCGGATGAGGTGGGTCCAGACTGGATGAGATGGGTCCAGACTGAATGCGATGGGTCGGGACCGGATGAAATGGGTCCTGACGGAGATGGGTCCAGACCGAATAAAATGGGTCGGGACATGATGAGGTGGGTCCAGACCAGATGAGATGGGTCCGGACCGGATTAGGTGGGTCCGGACCAGATGAGATGTCCGGACGGGATAAGATGGGTCCAGACCGAATGACATGGGTTGGGACCTGATGAGGTGGGTCCAGACCAGATGAGATGGGTCCGGACCGGATAAGGTGGGTCCGGACCGGATTAGGTGGGTACGGACGAGATGAACCGACACCCCTCAGGCGGAGAAGACCACTGAAATGTGTCAGGCTAACTTCCTACTGATCATAGCCGTGAACAGAAGTGGCTGCTGCCAAACAAAATTTGGGAGGGAGGTTCCATTACAATCTGAAATAATTTCTTCCCATATTTTCATGCAATATCTTTGGACAACCTTTATACTCGAGACTTGAAGACGATCATATCAAGCCTCAGAAAGTACGTAAGGTACGTAAGAAGGTACGTAAGGCTGTGGCCACGGCTGTGAGCGCGTCAACCGCGCGACCTCCGTCAACGCAAGGACATCCACAGCCGCCACGCATCTGGCTGTAGAAATCGTTATGGCACATGTCTTGAGGCAGTACAATACCCCGGAATTGGGCATCAGAGCATGCTTTGACGGATGGATGTGTTAAGGAGAGTAATGAGGTAGGATGGTGTGGTCACGCCGACAAAATGTGCATTTCCAACAGACGAGCTTGTGAACTTGTGCTAAGTTTGCTGACAGCCGCGTGAACGGTCGGCCTGGCAGACCGCACCGCTCATATTCATGTCTAGATCAATTCCCGCCGCATATTTATGCCAGGATATGAATGCCGAGGATCATCGGCAGGCAATTTTGAATTCACTTCTGCTGTTGTTTCGATAAAGGCATATTGCCGAAATATCAACCTAACTATATCTCACTTCTCCTTTTTTCTGATTAATAAGGCTTATACTGCTGTTTTATCTAGGTGAATAATGCTCTTCGCTTATGCACTGAACATCTTACGAAATTTGTGACACCTTTTACCTATCCATCGCGTTCTTCTTTCATTTTAAATGCCAGGGTATTTTGTACTCCGTCATAGCAAGCAAAGTAAAAACTCTGCTCTAATCATCAGCCATTAGCTGATCACATCGACCAGCCTGACAGCTCTAAATACGATAGGAATCAAGTTCGTGCTTCACTTTAATAACTGTTATTTGAATGCCATGATTCGCCATTATCTGGCGAAAGCGGGCAAGCTCTTTGCATGTACATACGTGGCACGCCTAGTTTTCTGGGCTGCAAACAGTAAGATGGGCTTCCGTATGAAACACATGCTAAGAAGCTCAAGATTTACTGGCCGGAACGTGATCGTTTTTTTTTTGGAGGCCGTTTACTCTGGGGGGGGGGGGGGGGCACAATGTTGCGCGCCCATTTGACGAAATCCTGGATCCGCCCCTGGCCGAAACAAGGCACCCAATGAAGAACTGGAGCTTGCGTCTGCAAATGTATAAGATGTAGATATATAGATACCAAAAGTCACTGCTATCCCGGGAGAGAACATGCATCCGCGGCAACCAAACACTCGCAAGAAATTACGCAAGCTGTTAAGTGCGTGTGCGAGGAATATTATTCACACAGATAAAACTGTAGTTAAAGCCTCATTCCTCGGAGAAAAACCAGCTGAATGGACAAACACATGCGTTGATATTTCGGCAACATGCCTTTATCGAAACAGTAGCAGAAATCTTCTGCCATTGTTTCGATAGATATTATCAAATACAAAATCATAAATAAATAAACAGTAAGAACCTCGATAAACCAACGCATACCTTCCGTTATTCTCCTGGTTTTTCTTCGAAGAAGAACGCTATCATTATCGCCTAAACTCACGAAAAACAGCCGATTATTTTGCAGAGCCTGACAAAAAACGCCCGAAACACGCAAAAGCTCCCCGACGGGGAATCGAACCCCGGTCTCCCGCGTGACAGGCGGGGATACTCACCACTATACTATCGAGGAGTGATAGTAGGCTGTGCACATAGTAATTACAGCACTACTCCGTTTGCTGTATTTTTGATCTATTCACATGAAATGCAACCTAAAATAAACAGAGAACTCATACTGAATCAATTTGTACTGACAAATCAAAACGTGCTGTCTTTACACCTTGATTTGCCTTGGATCGGTCAAGTTTCAGCATCCTATTGCCGTCTAATTACAAAAACTATTTTGCGGCCATCATGAAGTTAAGCACATACTTTGTTCATGAACTTAATTAAAGATATGCTTTAGATACAGCGTCAATAAAATTGTTGACACAAATGTATCGTTCAGTACGCGAGAAAACAAGGCAATCTCCCAGAGCCAGGGAAGTTGAGAAGCAGGTTTTGCCATCTAGTGAACATTTTATTCACTAGGAATGATAGCGCGGCCACCAGGATAATTCGTGTACGTGTCTTTAGTGCCGCGTTCCCAGTGTGTGTTGCGTGGTGTGCACCAGATTTACCAGATCAGTATGCGGGTAGTTATACTGGGAGCCGGTTACGGAACGAGGTAAGAACTCTTTCATTGGCCTTATGAAGCACATGCACGGGGACACCCAGAAGAGATCGTTTACCACCCCTTGGTGGCCGCCGTGTTTCAGGTTCCAGCGGGACGCTGATGCTGATGCAAGCGGCCAGTATAGCCATCTGTCGGGCATTCCCAAACCACTACTTCCGATCGGAGACGCGCCATTGGTGACTCACTGGATCCGCGACCTGGAAGATGTGACGCGCCACGAGCCCGTGGAAATTGAAGAGGTAGTCGTCGTCGTCAACGTGCTAAATAAGCCACAGTTCGAGCAGTGGCAAGCCGGCCTGACCACACCACTGAAGGTGACATTGACCTGCGATGGGGCCAGCAGCAATGACACGCGCCCTGGGGCCATCGCCTGCATGGCCATTGGGGTCGGCAACAACTGGTCACGTGACGTGCTCTTCATCGGTGGGTACGTACCTCACATAAGATAAAACACGGCAAATGATTGCTGATATAAGCTTTTATGACGGCCATTCGCGTCTTATCGTATTCGATCTGGGCGCTGAAATGTGGTTTGGCAGTCATGTGCTGGTATGTCAAGTCACGACCATTCACCTTTGAGAGGACCGGCGTAACTGCTCTGAGTCACAGCGATCTAGCACATATGGTATCATGGGATTGGCCCTGGCCCATGGGCCCTGTCTGTCATGTTTTAGTCACGGTCATGGCACATGGTCAAAATCCGCTGAGTGTGCCGGGTACGCTGCAGTCGGCTGCCTTTCTTGTACTGATAACTGATTATGCCCGACAGAATCTCAGTGCGTTCTCCAAATGAAAAACCTCATTGCCACTGCTTTTAGGCAGCTCGGTGAGGCTCATGCTCATCCGGCTGCGTATCGCACCCATTTCCCTGAGCGGCCTGTCCCGTTGCAGCGACACGCTGTTCCCTCGCGAGTTTTCACTGGCCGGCTTCCTGCGCGCCGCCCAGCAGCAGCTGGGCGTGCACCCGGGCTCGTGTCACGTGACAGCCGTGCCGTGCCCCGAGGAGCGTGTCAGCCGACACGGCATCGTCGAACTCGACGACCAGCGGTGCGTCGTCGGCTTCAAGGAGAAGCCTCAGCCCAGCGAGACGACCTCGCGATTGCAGGTGGGCCGACGGATGAGCGGGCGAGGTGCGCGTCAATCTGTGTGCCCCTCTCGTCCATGTCCCTCCGTGGGTGTCTCCTGCCCGTGTCCCTCCATCTGTGTCTTCATTCCATGTCCCTCCGTGGGTGTCTCCTGCCAATTTCCCTCCGTGTGTGTCCCCTACCCATGTCCCTCCGTATGTGTCTCCATTCTATGACTCTTCGCGGGTGTCTTCCGCCCATGTTCTCCATGTGTGTCTCCATTACATGTCCCTGCGTATGTTTCGCATTTCCATGCCCATCTGCGCGTCTCGCCTATTCATATCCCTCCATGTGCCTGCCTTGTCCATGTCCGTTGCCGACCGACCAGGCTGTTGGCGTTGTCCGTGCCGCCTCATGCGTCGGTACATCTCCCTGAGTTGCATCGGTACACGCTGCCACCCCTGCTGTCACATGTGGACCAGCGCGGCAGCATGGCCGCACGCCGAGCACATAGCCCTGTAAAGAGCGATCACGGCCGTCCTGCCGGGACGTCTCTGCGGGCTGGAGTCAGCCGTCCGACCGTATTGGTACGTCGGCAACATGCTGGCCGCGGACGGCAGCTCGGCCGTGTGTAGCCCGCGCCTCGCGATGGCCGGCAGCCTCTGGTAGGAGACGCCGACCCTCCCGCCTCCACGTCTGTCATCAGGAGTCGAAATCGCCAAGCGTTGATCTTGGCAGGCCGTGCAAAAGTCGGGCGTAAAGCACACCGCCGTGGGCTGTTGCCGCTGTCGCCAGCTCCAGCCTAGCTCCAGCTCCAGCTCCAGCTCCAGCTCCAGTTCCAGTTCCAGGTCCAGGTCCAGGTCCAGCTCCAGCTCCAGCTCCAGCTCCAGCTCCAGCTCCAGCTCAAGCCCAGCCCAGCCCAGCCCAGCCCAGCCCAGCCCAGCCCAGCCCAGCCCTCAGGACGAGCTGCTGGGGCGGTGGAGCGGGTCAGCTGGCTGCGTTTTCGAGTCTGTCAGCCGATGACTGCCAGGGCGCCAGTCAGACGCGTCTCGGGACTCAGGCTCGACTGTCTGGACGGCGCCGTGTGACGGTGTCCGCTCGCGCTGTTTCAGCCGGCCGCCAGGCGCACTTCTCCTGTTGGACGTGTCTCGGGACTCAGGCTCGACTGTCTGGATGGCGCCATGTGACGGTGTCCGCTCGCGCTGCCTCAGCCGGCCGCCAGACGCGCTTCTCCTGCCCACCAGACCACGATCCCGTGGTCCTCAGGTCGGACGGCGCACCTCGGTACGCGTCGTCGACGCTGCGACGCCTTGTTCGGTTGGGGCCGGCTGGCAGCGAACACAGCACTGACCACCTCGGCTGTTCAGTGTCGGCTCGCCTGTGACCGCCTCCCCGTTTGCAGTGCCCGTGCTTCTACCTGATCCCGGCAGCGACCCTGGGCCGCTTGGAGGCGTACCTGGCGAGTCACGCCAGCCTGGCTGAGCGCGACGCCACTGGCCTGCTGGTGGCGGAGCTGGCGCGCCAGGGACGAGTGGTGGCGCACCCGTCGCCCGGCCGCTACGACGTGGGCAGTCTGGAGACGTACCGCAGCTGCTGCCAGGCGATGGCAGCCGGCCGAGGGGGCGCGGTGCGCACGGCAAACTGCTGAAACTGGTGCGAGGTGGCGCTGGGGTTAGTTCCTGTGGGATGCGGTGCTGCCACCAGGGCATGGAAAATGGAATAGTGGCAGACGCTGAGGCGTTGATGTCAGAGTAGCCCTGGCGTGCTCAGCAGGAGGTGCTTCAGGGATTTTTTGCTGGCTCGTGGTGGGAATGCGTGGCTTGTGCATATATCGTCCACATGTGAGTAACGGACTTTCCAGCCCCAAGATGACAGTGTAGGCTCTTCCATTATTTCGATAGGCGAGATGCATTACACACAATAGTCATACTCACCACATGTTTAGCTCGCCCTCACTGCCGAACTCAACCTGATCACAGGGATTCATCCGGGCCTGAACGTTCTAGATTTGTCGACAGCTGATCACATGCAGGTTGGGGCGTGTTGGAAATTGACACGCGTGTTTTTTCTGTTCCACAGAACAGATAGGTAAATGCGTGAATAAGTAAATTGAGCAAATACAGATGAAAATAGATATGAAAGAACCGAAGAACATTGTTTGGATGAACAGATGGACGTGATTTAATGGGAGTAAGATATCGGAACTGAATCTAGCGGAAAGCAAAATAACGGCAGTGATAGGTCCAGCTGGTTTGTGCCTCGCACCCAAGACCTATTTTAACATGTGGAATGAGAGGGGGGGGGGGGGGGCATAATCCCTACCATCGACCGTCAAAGCCCTACCAAATAAACCGAAATTTCTCCCCCTCCCACCCAGTGAAGCCTCGAGTGTCCCACGGCTCACGCTGGACAAAGTATCTGAAGCGGTTCAGGCAGATATCGGAGTCACAGTAGGTGCATGCATTCTGTATGGGGCTGGGCATTCTAAGGTGAGGCGGCCGTTCTAAAAAGAAGTGTTACAAATTTGAAGATGATGGGCAGGAGAAGATGTTGAGGCAAGCATGAGATATGATAAGATAAGCTCGCTTGTAACCGGCGATTATCTTTTCGTGGTGCCGGATCACTTCCTTCAGTTGGGTTCCACGAAAGCCATGGAGAAAAAGTGAAACACCTACCAGCAAGCTTCCGCCACCTCCGAACGGAAGATAACTCAAGCCCTCCAATCAGTTACAACTGGCAAAGTTTTGGTAAAAATGTGCGTTGAGTGACAAAGGTGTAGACAGGTAAAACTCCGTCACATTTTGCGAATGCACGTCTGTCTCCTACTGCGAAATATTGCTCGGATACTGTCTCGACGTCACCACCAATACCAAGACGCGCGTCGCGTGCCAATGTAACATTGTGGCGTCAAATATGATGAATCAATATCTGGTGCGTTAGCTTAAAGCACAGCAACCCCGAGAAAACTACAATTCGTTTTCGGTTACACACCTTCAAGCCTAGCAGGAAAAGTCTAGTCATTGCTGGTCTGCCAGACAGAAGCCCCACAAACAACTCAAAAACCGTCTGAAATATAAACCGCGCGCTATCCGTGCAGTCACTTACGTACGAGAAACTCAGGTTTCGGTTAGGCTATATTTTAACAAACACATCCGTAACATGCAGGAAAAAGCTTGGAGGCACATCAGGAAATCATTTAAGGAAACGGCAAGATTCTGTTAATTTGTCCAGAGCAGGTAACTTGCCTCTGGGAGTGAGCAGCATCAGCAGAATGCGGGACCATCCTGACCACACCATTCCACTCCCTACTTATCCGTGCGGAAAGACCAGCGTTAGGCAAAAACTAGACGTGGCGGCATGTCGTACACGTATCAACGCTGCCCGTAGGGAGCCGAGTCTGGTGTCTTGTTTCCACTGTGCCAGTGTTCGCAGTGCATCCTTCGTGTTCAGATACGTGTGCGCATGCCTATGCAAAATGTTTGTTCGGCTTAGTGAGGGTCGAGAGACTTTTCGAAGCGCAGGTAGTTAAATATGAAAAAGCGTTTGGAGCCATGTAATGGACTTTCTGGGATAAAACTTGCACACTGTTCGATGACAGGAAGTGGCCGAAATGTTACCTTAAATTTTGAAGGGAACTTTTTCATTCTTTGAAGCAATCACGAGGAAACCGCAGACAAATGATCCTCAACAACATTGCTTAGGTCAGGCTCGTTTAGAAATAGCTCTCGTCGAATGTTTGCTGGCTTGCTTCGCTACGCGGCGAAGCTGGCCCTTTGAAAACACATGCAAAGATCCGTGGCGCTCCATGAGCGATTAATTTTTTCATTATATCTGAACGAATTCAGCATCATTCATAGCATTTTCTGGCTAATCCGACCTCTGGTTGACGGCATAGTTGACGGGACCCGGGTGTAATGAGATTCCTACCAGGGACGTATGCGGGTCATGGGAGGCAAACTTTGTCTAGAAGCTGGTTTTATGTGCAGTAACATAAAGTGAAACGCTCGCATTCATAGCGGAACCCGATCGGCGACTGCTCTTCCCTTCCCTCTCCCTCTTAATATCCGTGCGCGTGCAGGGAGGAGGTTGTCGCAAATACTCAATTTTATCCGTCTCAAGAAGCGGTTGAAAACGTATGTAGGTTGTGTTTATTAGAGCCTGATACCAACGCTAACCGCGCTTAACGGCTTGGTGCAATATAGTCATGCGTGGGAGCGGTCGACGCATACCAGAGTAGTACCAGAAATGCACCCGGAAGTATCATTTAAAGGATTGTGTTGTTGTTAGCCCACTTTCTGCTTACTATGACAAAATCAGCGAATGGCCAGCTTTCCAATCTTGCTCTCCAAAGTTCCGCTGCCGCTGGAGTGCTGTTAAGATCTTCAAGATTTCCATGCTTGCTACCACTGCAAAGGCCAGATCTGCTCAGTCTCGCCTCTGCCATTGCAAAGGCCAGATCTGCTCAGTCTCGCCTGACCACTTCTGGCACTGGGCGTGCTGTTTGCTGCAACAGTGGCTGCGCTTTACAATGGCTGCATTTCATGAATCATTCTATTACACCCTTTGCAAATTTAATCGTGCGATTTCTCTAAAATTTCTCAACGCAAGAGATGGAAGTAATGCATTTCATCATTACTGTTACTCATCTTTTTCGCCACAACCAATGAATGAACGAATGACGAATGGCGACTGCGGGATGCCGGCAACACGCGGTGCATGCTCGATTCGTCATTTTTCCTCAGGGGCCCCAAAGTTTATCTGGCAACTCCGCCATGACGTCACAGCGGGGCACCTAAACAAGCTACAGCATTGTAAGCCCACAGGAATTTTTTTCAGAGACAGTCTTTGGGCAGATTGAGAACGCATAGACGACTGAAACGTTTTCTGCATTACGCAAAACGTGTGCTCTCTTATACGCCAGGTGTGGTTTTGAAGCTCAGTGCCTTAGCTATGAACTGCAAATTATTTTGCACAGGCGTTGCAACGTTAACCTAGGTAATGCAACCGGTACCAATACTAGGTTTATAGATGGGCTAGTGTTGTTTGTGGGCTGATGATTCTCATTCAGTTAGGGCTAGTGTTGTTTGTGCGCTGATGATACTCATCCAGTTATCTTAGATACTTACATCTTGCTTCTCGAAGGGCTCTGTGTGTTGGAATGCAAGCCGTGCTTGCAGGGTTTGTAATATCTTAACATCTTGCATGCAAATGTTTTTCCTTGATTTTGCTCGGTCACCAAATGCATATTCTTTGCGGCTCAATTGCCTGCCAATTCCAGTCTAAATGTGATATGATGTTCTGCCACTGTATTGGGCACCAACATGTGTGAACCTGCTAATTATGAAGTAAGATTTAAAATCTGACGATTTTCCTGGCATGATTGGCGCCTTTAATCTTCCTAAATTGACTAAGTATTGAACGCGTGACGTCGGCATGCGACTATATACATAGCGATATACTAAATTGCTCCGGTTCACCTTCGCTATATATTTATATAGCAAAAGTTAATCAAGGTCGCACGGCAAACACTAAGTTCTTGGACTGTGTTGCAACAATTTTTCATAGGAGACCATGTTATCGAGGAAAACTGCAATAGCCCAGCAACCTAGCCGATAAGACGTCACATCCAGTATAGAATCTAGTCCCGCGCAAGTACGGCACTGGTTGTCAGGTCCACATAACCTGCAGATCCAGTAACCATGGTTTTACTAAAAAAAAAAGAACTCGCCGGTGGCGACGAACGCCATACCAGCGGCGATTTGGCGAGCGATCAGTGCATTTTAACGACGCGAAAATATGGGTTGTAGCCTTTAAAGTTCATGTTTTGACGAGAACGCACAGAGTGACGAATAAGTGGTTGGTAAATGCGGACAATGAGTTTGTGTATGCGACGATGTGATCTTTACTACGACCCTTGCTACAGCTTCGACGACAGAGTGTTGCATTCGGCGCCGTGTTTCAAAATGCCGACATTCCGGACATGTCCAACGATTACGAGCACAACCAAGCATCGCACAAACTCGTGTTGTCCACATGAATTGCAGACAGTACGTTGATCGACGCTTTGAAATTGGATTTTTGGCCTCCACCCGCTCTAGCTCCCGAGGCATGGTATAGGCGTGAAAATGGTCAGAAACGGGCAAATTCGTCGTGACCGCTGCTGTGTACGTGGCACGTGGCACGTCAACATAAAATAGCTGATTCACGATGAAGAACCACAGATCAGGGCCACTCTTGCTTATGAACTGATGTAGTCCTTCATTTATCGCAAATGAGTGACAAAAATTATTTTGAACCTTCTGGTATAATGCGACCTAACATAAGCCATTTTGGTGATCTTGTTTGGCCCCGTGCAGAGTGACTTACCACCAGTGACATGCACTCAAAATAGTTCATATATTACATCAAAGTGATGTAACACAAGCCAGTGTTGTGTGTGTGTGAATTACTGTCTGTACTTTGAAATCTGAAATAACCGTGCTGGTCTTGATTGATAACGCAATAGCGTCGTGATCCAACTCAAATTGCTAAAGAGTTTCATGCAACGGTGCTAACCTGATCAAATGACATTTCCTTAACAATTGTTGGACCTAGCTTAAACGGTTCGAAAGAGGTCCTAAAAACTCTTGTGTGATTTCCTTTTAATCCCTCGGTGTTCGCTGGCAAAACAGGCAGATAGGTCTTTCTCACGCTCAAGTTTCTACACATATACCAAAGTGCCTGCTTTCCGAACGCGTCGACGCTCAGCGTCTGCCAAATGCGAGTTATTTTAGTTTGTTGTTATTCGATGGTCGCCATGCTGCGCGTCACATGTCAAGGGGTGAAAACAGGTCAGTCCGATGGCAGGATCAGGGGATTTCCAGCTGAATCAGAAATGTCGCACAAAGTTCACATGATGTAACCGTCTAGTCATCGGTACTCGCCCGTGCGAAGCGACCACCCGGGCCGCTGACAGTTGGGCTCCAAACGGCAGCAGATCCTCTGTGGAACCTGAGCTTCATCGAGTGAGCTCCAGCTGCTGGTCGGTTGCTGTTCTGGTTGTGGTTTTGACGGCCCGAGTACTTAGAGACCATAAATTCACGTTTTTACGTCAGTCTTCATCCACAAGCCATCGCTTTGAAGTCATGTTGCGTTTAAAGCAAGGTACGTCCGAACATATTTTAGTGTGTGCACATTTCTGTTCGCTGTAACACGCGGACGGGGGCAGCGACGCGGGGAGAAAAGGCCTTCCAGCTCAAGGATTAAAGCAGGGCGTAGTTTCGCGACGGAGTTGTAGAGCTGAAAAATAGAAATATGAGAAGACCTTCCCAAATCGTCAACAACTGGGTTTCTACACGGTTTTAGTCCACTTCCTTTGTACTGTTCGGTGGGGAGCAGGCAGGATGGGGCGGGGGCTGGAGCCCTCCCCCCAACTGCATAGGAAACTGAACTCCTGTCTATGCTATGTAACAGGCAGGAAATAGACAGCAGGAGTAAACGCCAGTGTGTGTAGGCGGGAGGCTTTACAGAAGGAGACGACCGGAGTCATTCAGTGTAGTAGAGTCAAATGGCGAGAAGAAGGGAAAACTGGACGATGTATTTCCTGAAGGTTCAGCAAGGAGTAGAGAACACAGAGCAACAATTCAGCATATCAACTACACCGACAGTGAATGCTGGCAAGGAAAATGTATCAAAAAGATATTCCGATCGCTTAAAATGTTTGTATGAATCAAAACGAGAAAGTGGCATGTAACACACAAAAGAGGGCGATAAAAGAGTTTTTCACTCACATATCTGTTTCCAATTGACAGGAAATAAGAACTGCAGTACATCCGGTTTAACCAAGGGTTTCTTTCTTAATTTGTGGCACAGCATAGGCTCTATTGGTTGTTAAGTGCGTAAATCACGCAGTTAAAAAGGGGCCTGGTCCTGACGCAAGCACCCCAGTAATTGACATGCATTAGCATAAGATCGATCATAGGCCGCTTTCAAACAAGAGGCCAATAACATTATTAAATAAACTACACAGAATTGTGGCGGAGGTGCCAGTCAAACACGAGTTGTTATTGCCGAGTTGAGTGCTCTAGAGCAGACAACCTTCACACGAGGCATGGGCATTGACCACAACCCCAGGCTCACCTAAGATATTATGTGCTGTTGCAACGAACATGATTTTGTGGTGAATTGGGTTACTGGTGCGCGCGCCTGGGCGTGCCTGGGCGCGCCTCTGCAGCCGACGTGCCGCCGCGGTCAGCGGTCACCGGGACGCCAGTCTTCTGATACCGGTGAGAGCGCTTGCATATCGCAATTTACCAGGCATGCTGATGACATTCGATTCGCAGCCGCAATCGATCCAGTTAAGAACAATTTTTTTCTTGGAACCCTTGATCTTTTCATTTGGGAGGTCATTCATTCACTGGGTGAGGTCACGTTCGCTATTGATTCATTCGCTGGGTAGGTCTGGGTACGCTGGTTTTCTCATTTGGCGGCAGTTATTCTGATTCCCGCGGAAGCCGTTTCCAGAAATCAACCATTCCCGCAGAAGCCTACTTGAAAAATACTGATCTTGCTTTCCGTGGAGAGATATGCCTCCGGAAATCAGAACATCTGTCTGGAAAGCCGTGACGGGGAACGAAAGCAGCCAATCTCGCCATATAGATAGTGGGCAACACGCGGTCCTTATAAGCAATAATGCTACCGGAGAAACTGGGCCAATTGATCGCTGTTGACGCCGATATAGCACCGTCTCCACCCACATGACATCAGTGCGCATCCCGACGCTCACAGTGGGCAACACTTTTTTCCTATAGTTGATCGCCTCGTCCGTCAGTATGCTCCCCTACAAATCTTGGACATCGACACTAAACACGACGGTCCCCGGCGGTGCCCCTCCTGGGTACGACGACATCGACACTAAACACGACGGTCCCCGGCGGTGCCCCTCCTGGGTACGACGACATCGACACTAAACACGACGGTCCCCGGCGGTGCCCCTCCTGGGTACGACGACATCGACACTAAACACGACGGTCCCCGGAGATACCCCTCCTGGGTACGACGACATCGACACTAAACACGACGGTCCCCGGCGGTGCCCCTCCAGGGTACGACGACATCGACACTAAACACGACGGTCCCCGGAGATACCCCTCCGGGGTACGACGACATCGACACTAAACACAACGGTCCCCGGGGGTGCCCCTCCAGGGTACGACGACATCGACACGAAACACGACGGTCCCCGGCGGTGCCCCTCCTGGGTACGACGACATCGACACTAAACACGACGGTCCCCGGAGATACCCCTCCGGGGTACGCCGACATCGACACTAAACACGACGGTCCCCGGCGGTGCCCCTCCGGGGTACGACGACATCGACACTAAACACGACGGTCCCCGGAGATACCCCTCCGGGGTACGCCAACATCGACACTAAACACGACGGTCCCCGGCGGTGCCCCTCCGGGGTACGACGACATCGACACTAAACACGACGGTCCCCGGCGGTGCCCCTCCTGGGTACGACGACATCGACACTAAACACGACGGTCCCCGGAGATACCCCTCCGGGGTACGCCGACATCGACACTAAACACGACGGTCCCCGGCGGTGCCCCTCCGGGGTACGACGACATCGACACTAAACACGACGGTCCCCGGGGGTGCCCCTCCAGGGTACGCCGACATCGACACTAAACACGACGGTCCCCGGCGGTGCCCCTCCAGGGTACGACGACATCGACACTAAACACGACGGTCCCCGGAGATACCCCTCCGGGGTACGCCGACATCGACACTAAACACAACGGTCCCCGGCGGTGCCCCTCCGGGGCTATGCCGATCGCAGGCGTTGGAGATGTGTGTCTGTGTTCGGCGGGCGTTCGGGTACATGAAGGATAAGGTGAGAGGTAATCCGCTCCAGTACCGAGGCTCACTCATCAATCGGGTCGCCGCACAGAAACACGATGAGGCGGAGCGGCACGTCGAGTTTGTGATTTTCGTAGGAGCGCGTATGGTTCGGCAATGCGGAGGTGCGAAAGTGGAAGCACTGCGTTAATTAGATGGTTGTCGACTTCGTCCTCCATGGTGACTTTGATCATCCGTTTGATTTGAGCCCCGAAATTGATTGTTGGATAACTTGCAAGTTGCTCATGAAAAGGGCCGTATGGCTTGGATCTGTCTTGCAAAAATATCAAAGAAAACGGCATTCAGTGAATGCAATCATTTTAATCCTGATTAATGTTTCAACTGAACTAATGGTACGAATATCCAAAACTTTTTGCCTTGGCATCGGTTTAAAAGCTGTCCTAACAATTTCTTTAGTGGCAGCTATATACTCCGATTTTCGTCCACTCCAGGTACGTAACCTTGAAAGGTATGTCTTAATACTTCAGACCACAGGGTCAGCTTTTTGTAATATATTCTTCACAAAGAACCAAAAAGGATTCCCTCGGGGAGCATCTAGAGCCTTTGTCTGAACCAGTGCCCCTATATTCTCCCTTTATTCCCTCATGTTATATATCACATATTTTCCACAGATGCCTACACCATGCTGATAACATACCATCATAAAAATACTTGCTTCCATTGGATGTCTCCGTAGTCTCCTGATGTACTCCTTGACTCCCCACTCATATCCCTGTAATTCTTTGCCCACTCCAGTTACGATTTCATAATATTTCAAATAGAACAGTCAATGAGGCCCTTAAGCAATATCCCAAATCTTCAGGTCCAAATATTATTGGAGTACACAAACAAACCCCATCGCTCACCCGATGGTAAACAATGACAACCCTCTCAGCCGCACCTCTGTTGAAATCACATTTCAGATAACATGACATCATCGCTGCAGGTGTTTCTCCACACTTTTACAGACATCAGACTTTCAACAGTCGCATTAATATGCCAGGCAAAATGGCGTTTTACGAGACACAAAACCTCAGACCACTAGACAACCACCGCCATATATGACATGAAAAAGACATATTAGCAAATCTAAACAGCATACCAACATCAACATTAACATGACATCCCGTTGTGAGTTGCATTCCAAACAGACTCTAAAAAAGGCAATAATTGTCACTTACCCGTCCAGATGGCAGTCTGCCACGCTTGTCCACCACTGATCGACCGTTGCGATGGAAAATGTCGCCAAACCATATCAGTTCAACGTTCTCAACAAGTGTCAGCGGCCCTGACCAACAGAATCGCGCTCTCATTGTCCCAAGGCGGACGCGTAGTTTCGCAGAATGAGGATGGGTTTGAGGGTGGGGCTGAGCAATGACAGATGCGACACAGCCCACATCCAAAATACGATGTCAAGCGAGCTTCTCCCCGAATTTGGCCCACTTTATTCACATTTTGTTTATTCACTTTATTTACATTTCATCATTATTGTCGTGAGTCTGGAAAAAACGGGATTCACAATCATCGTGAGAAGCCGTGTCGCGTGACATTTCGTGCGTCAGAGTATGCATGAAATTTCACGCGTATTGTCACATTGTCGTGTTTATGTTTATGCATTATGAATTGTTGTATTAAAAGTTAGTTTGCACGCAATTTTTTCGAAATTGTGCAAGTTAACCCACATTTCTTAGAATTTATGGGGCGTAGCGGCAATGTTGCGTAGAACCTTTACATAGAAGTTTAATCGCATGCAATTTTATGCGTTAGAAGCTTTTTATGAGAGCTGATGTTGCGCTAAGTCTTTGGGTTAGATATTTTGACACGCAAAATAAATTTTTTGTGGAATTTTTGCATGAGACGATTTCTGGCATAAAAGCTAATGCGTTAGAAGTTTTTGCATTTGAAATGATGTCGCGAGTAGTTTTTACATCAGAAGTTTTGTCGCGTAGAAGTAGTATCGTGAACAAGTTCTTGTATTGTATGCTGTTTTGTGTAGAAATTTAGGCGCCAAAAGTTCTCGCGTTAAATATAAGGTAGCCAGCACATTTTAGCGTTAGCAGTTTTGTCGCGAAGACGTTTAGAGGTTAAAAGTTTTGCATTAGGAGAGGTGTCACGCTGACGTTTTTTGCGTGAGAAGGTTTTTCATATACAAATACTGTCACGTAGACGATTTTGCGTTAGAAATTCCGTCGCGTAAAAGTTTCTGCATTCAAAAGTTCATGCATCAAAAGTAGTGTGTAGAAGGCGTGTCGTGGAAGTTTGTCGTTAGGAATGTTTGCGTTAGGTGGATTGTCGGCACACCCTCACAACTGCCACAATGGAGCTCTTTTCCTTTCTCTTGGTATTGCCTCTAATGTCGTTCGCGAGTTTGTGCGGTTGGTCAACGCTGTAGATAAAAGGATGTCTGCGTCGGTATGGTGACGCAGACAGTCATAACTATTGACCTCAGTGTCTTGCAACAAACAGCCGGACTTCCCAAGCTTTCGAGAGCGACGAACCCCCCCCCCCCCCCCCCCCTCCTTCCGTTTGCCGTATCCTAGCTCCCGTGTAAGATATCTGCAGCGAGTAAGGAACAGGTCTCGCCAATACCGCCAACGACCAATAACAGCAAAATACTGGTGGCGGTTTTTCGTGTCAATCTCATTCCTGGTCGGTGTCTTTTCACGATACTATCCCACGGAGATCAAGCATATGTTGCGTACAGAACATAACCACATACTATACTTTGTCGGATGAATGTTACCAAAACAAATATCATCCTGTGGAATGAAGGTTCCCGAAACAAAATATCATCTCGCTTTCAGGAATCCCATTGATTTTGCTGATCGTTGGTACATTGGCTGGAGCCTGTGTCCCAAATGGTCTGGATTTGAAGCTGCTGAAGGCATTGACGACTGATTTGAGCAAGAATCAGGCTATCGCCCCGTTCGTCATGTCCACGCTGATGACACAGGTCTGGCTGGGAGCCAGGGGCGACACCAGAAACGAGGTACGTGTACGGGTAACAAACTCTTCACACCGTACTCCTGACTCAGCTTAGCTGGCCAGCTGGAGCAGTCCAGTATGGGTATGGTACATGAGTGGGGCGTGCTGAGACAAGTAGTGGTAAAAAATGAGAGCCTTTAACCGCTATGCGTTTAAAAATAGAGTTAGAGTGATCACTGCCACCCCTGCGGTACAACATTTTGCACCCACGCAACTAATCGGTTAAGTAAGGCTACAGCTACCTTTGTGTAATCCGTTGAATGTCGTGATATATGTAATAAACGGTTTGTATGGGTATGCACATGATTAGCTTATCTTCACAGCGTCTGACATTCGAATACCTGCATTAATTTGGTGATAAATTTATTCCTAAGCAGCGGGGAGTTATGTTCGGCATGTATGTGCAGTTTTTCATATTTTGTTTCTAAATAATTGAATGATACGTAGTCCCACAGAAGTTAACGAACTTTTTAGACAGCGGTATGTCTGAATAATTCATTTTTTTGGGACGCGTCAACGATTCATTTGCCTTGGTCATTGGTTTCTTTATAGGAGCATCCATGCCCTTTGATTAGTTTACTACATTTTGTATGAATCTGTCGCCCACAGATAACATCAGTCCTAGACATAAGGACAAAGAAGGGATACAGCTTCTTGACGAGTTACAAACGTGCAATCAGTGACCTATCCCACGGTCCTAGTAACATCACTACCGGTGTTTTTAACCGAATTTACATCAAGCATGGCTTCAGCATCAAGTCGGGATTTAAAGATCTGTTGCAAGATTACTACTACGCTGACGTCAAGCAATTCTCCTCGCCGGCGCAGGCGGCGAAGGAAATAAACTCCGCCGTGGCCAAGGCAACGAAAAACCGCATCAAGGATCTTGTGTCAGCGGGCGCTCTGCAGCAAGCGGTCATGGTCCTGATCAGCGCATTGTACTTCAAGGGCCTGTGGCTGACTCAGTTCAACAAGACTGTGACGGAGCCGTTCCTCACGGCCTCGGGGGAGGAGTCGGTCGACATGATGAAGCTCAACACCAGTGTGCCGTACGTGAAAATGGCTGAATTTGATGCGATCTGCCTGCCGTACACGGACAGAAGCTATGGTATGCTGATCTTGCGTCCACTGACACGTGACATGGCTGCCGTTTCACATCTGAGGGACTCCCTGGACTCCCTCGATGTCGCCAATATCATGAATAAGGTTCGTTCATCGCCCGTTGAAATCAGTATGCCTCGTTTCAAGATAGAAGCAGGTTACAAACTGAAGAAAACCATATCCCAGTTGGGAATTCGAAAACTGTTCACAGCTCGTGCAGATCTGGGTAACATTGCCGATAAGCCGCTGGCTGTCAGCGAAATTATCCACAAGGTGTTTATGGAGGTGACGGAGAAAGGCACGGAAGCTGCAGGAGCCGGCGCCGTCATTGTCGTTGGCACGGGCAGCGAGACACCTCCACCCGTCCAGTTCACTGCAGATCGCCCCTTCTTTGTCATTGTTTGTAACAAGAAACACAGGATCAACCTGTTCTCTGCGTACGTGGCCTTACCATAGTGATGGTTAACTTGCTGCGCACATTTATAGGGCAAGTCGTCCTGGGCACATTTGCCTTGTGTTGGGCATTTGGGCATGCTTTACGGGAATATAGTGAAGCCACTGCATTTAACAGGGTCACGCAAAAAATTGCGCAAATTTTGCAAATCGTTCGTGTGCTTTGGAGCTTTTCTGCCTAATCTGAGCTGCAACATTCGTACGAGAGTTTTCAAGTGAATACTTAGATGCCGGTATTATGGTCACTATGCTGCAAAGTATTTCAGGCAGAACTGCGTGATTGGTCTTCTCATCTTACACCGTATCAGAGTGTAAGGAAATATATCTCTAGACTAGTCCTTGTCCATCTGCTATTTGGGAGTCCTATCTGAATCTGTGTGAAATACGGCGTTTTATGTACGTTTTATGACCCACACACGCAGAGCGCGGCAAGTCACAACCTTACACGATCACATCATCCACCGGCACGGCGGCTACCCGCTCGAATCCGTTTCTGCCAGGTGGAGAGCGCGATCTTACACTGCCGACATTCGATGAGTTTCGGCCACCCTCTGCTTACCTCACACCCGCCGTGCATCACTTCCGCCTACATGCACAGACGATCGACGACCGGCCTCGACCTGTCAGCGTAGCCATCATAACATCTGGCGGAACGCCGTGGAGCTGAAGCTGCTGACACCCACCGCCAATCAGCCACATACAACACGCGATATCGTTGAAAGGAGTGCTCGACATTTGTATGCGGTTTGGAGCTGAAATAACCGTCTTGAAGATCATTTGGTGCGGTACATAGCCCTGCGCTTCGTAAGACCTAATGCCCTTTAGTTTTTGAGCTACACGTTCGAGGAGATATGCAGACTTTTTCGGCAAGACCATTTTGAGGTCACCCAGGCATCTATAACGCCGTAATAACGCCATTTGAATCCTGTCATTCCATCATCCATGCGGCAATCAAGGCCACTAAAAATACGGTTGTCGAGTCGTTTATATCTGGCATTCGTGAGGGGAGAAAAAATGAGCATCACTGCACGATTTGAACACGCGCGCATGGTCACCGTGCACCACTGGCCACGCGGAACTAAACATGTAAGTTCAGATGAGCTTGTGACGGCGACAAGCCCACTACGATGGCAATGGCAAACCTACGTCGACAAGCGATGGCCGCTGAGGTCCAGCCCGGAGGGCCGCGGAAATGCAATGAGTCAGGGGAGACAGAACGGCCACCTTGGCGGTGCGCGGAGCAATGCGACGTAGGCGTAAAATGACCACAGTAGTCGGCATAACCCCAATCATCATCATCATCATCCTCAGGGCAGTGGAGCAGACACCGCTGATACGCACAGGACGCCGGGCCGTCGGCAGTGGACGCCGGAGCGGCAGCAGCCGACACGAGATCAGCAGCATCAGCAGTGCTGCAGCAGCACGGGGCCCCAGATTGCACCAGCTACAGTTCTATGAGCTGTAACTGATGCAATATGTGGTCCCGGCTACAGCACTATGAGCTGCTCACCAGAAGGAATCACGCACAGTGCACTTAACCCAATTACACAACAGGTAATCATAACAACCAATGTAGGTAGGTGCCTTGCCAATGATGCACAAAACGTTCGAAGATGAATTCTGAAACAGGGCAGACAACTGTAAGCGGACCGAGAACCGCAGCATCGTGCGGTCAGCTCAACCAGAATGAAAAGAGGTTCACCTGGAGCCTCCGCAACAAACAATCCTCACTTGTGGCCTGGTTTTGGGCAAGTTACTGGTGGTCGGCAGGATCAAAGGGTGCGCCTTTCCAAAGACTGTCATTAACACATAGAAACTGTGATCTGCTCTATGCCCTACACAGGATATATGATACCCGCTCTAGTCCCCTTCATAGGGAACTCCTGACTGGAGTGACTTTGTTGTGACCACTCTAAGATCACCTGGCCGCCACACCACTGTTAAACATGCCAACCTGACTCTGCCAAACACATGATTCGGAAACCAGACAACTCCCTCCAGCATTGCACAAAGCACATGACACAAAAAGATCGCGGCACAAACCCTTACAACATCCGAGAGCAAACCGGACGAGGAGAGGGGGCTTCATCACTCAGACAGAGTGGATTGGTGCGGGCGTGGCTGACTCGCGCTCGAACACGGCGTTCTCGAACTTGGCTGGGGAATCAGCCACAGCGGATAGCCCGTCATCGCAGGCAGGCACCCATATCATCCTGGCTCCCGGACACCTGACCCCGGGGCAGTGACGTGACGGTTAAATACGGCATCCGCATGATCAGATGCTGGTCCCCTCTACTAAACTGCGATCTGTTTCGGAGCTGTAATCGTAAAGTCTCTGTTGGGATCTGGAGCCGCAGATTGTGAGGCCTGGTTGCCAGCCTGCTGTAACGCACAATAAGTGGCTTTCCGGTATTCAGAAGACGAACTCTTTCATGCAGGTCAGACAATTTGGGAAGTGGCTCCCTTCTAAGGTCCCAAAAATAATATGTCCCACGCGCCATCTCATTCTAAGACAGGTATAACTGGGTCACTAACTCAAATACAAAATGGTATTCGTTTATTTCTCACAGCATTTTTTTGCACCAGTGCTGTGGGTGAATACCAATGCCGTCAGCTAAGCTGACGCCCTGTAAGTGAGTATGAGCCAATGAGATAATAACGCGATGCACGGTAAGCTAATGAGTCATTTCGACACGGTTGATTTCAGACATCCTATCTTTTTGTGTAACGGTAATGTTAATAAACCGGCACCAGTACAAATATTGACTACCCAATGAGCGTGCCGAAGACGACGTTCGGTCGTAGCTCTCATTCAATGGACCTCGCCATGAAACGTTTTTATAACGCAGACCGAGTGGGGGGGGGGGGGGGGCTGCCGTTTTGAAACGAGGAAAGAAAGAACCTTGCAAAAAAGGATTGTTCTTAACGAGTTCTCATGACTGCAAATAATTTTTATGTTACCAGGTCAATAATTATGTCCGTTAGCCCAGGTCGAAAGCCAAATGTTCCTGACAATTGTAGTTTTCCCATATGTTTTCAATTCGTGCCTCCATTAATAGTAAGCTTGATGCATATGATCCTGTGCTGAGCTGATTCCAGTATAACGCTGTTGATGGATGGCTCAGTTATCATGGGCTAGAAATGTTTGTCTTAAAAAGTTTTTCGTTTGCTGCGAGGGCGTTACCCGTCGTTACCCAACCACAGCCAATTCAAGTGGTTGCAACCAATAATGTTAAGGGCGAATGTAATATGTAGGCTACCCAAATGCTACTTACAAGGACGCCACTTTACTTCATGAGCGTCGCTGAAGGCATAGATTTTGCTCAACTATAAACAGGATCGTCACATGACGAAATAGTCGCAGCGCCCGTGACCCAAAATAACCAACCAGCCTCGCTAGAACACGGCTCGTTACACGAACATTCACCCACCATCCATGTGTCCCTGACCAATAGATTGACTATCCACTGTTGGATTTCTGGTTGGTGGTTCCGGATTAGGAAATAAAACTTACGAATTCGGATTGTAAAGGCTAGATATATGCCACTTGGGTAGTAAATAAGTCCATGAAATTTCACTTCGAACACTGCAATTCTAACGTCTCAGCGCCGGCCGGTCGTGCGCTTACACGTCCTAGCAACTGAGACTGTGCATAATCAGCAAATGAAACTTTGATAGAAATGACACTCCCGAAACAAGCACAGTACACATTTTACGGTTAATGATGCTTAACACGCACCGGATTTGATTTGTCCTTGTTTTGTTTGGCTTATGGTATTCAAGAATATATTGCAACGGTTTGGGATAAATTTCGCTGCAGGTTAAGATTTCTTGTGTTCAAAATTTCGTCGGTGACAGAAAAGGTGCATTTTTCACCCCTGGGCACAGGGGATTCCCATCTGAGTCAGCAATGCGTAGTAAAGGTCGCATGGTGCCATCGTCTGCTCATCGGAACCCACCCGTGCACAGCGACCGCCCGGATCGCTGACAGTTGGGCCCCAAACGGCAGCAGACACTATGTGGAGCCTGAGCTCCACCGGGTGGCAGACGGCAGCAGACCCTATGTGGAGCCTGAGCTTCACCGACTGGGCAAACGGCAGCAGACCCTATGCGGAACTTGAGCTCCACCGAGTGGCAAGCGGCAGCAGACCCTATGTGGAAACTGAGCTCCACCGAGTGGCAAACGGCAGCAGACCCTATGTGGAAACTGAGCTCCACCGAGTGGCAAACCCTATGTGGAAACTGAGCTCCACCGAGCGGCAAACGGCAGCAGACCCTATGTGGAAACTGAGCTCCACCGAGTGGGCAAACGGCAGCAGACCCTATGTGGAACCTGAGCTCCACCGAGTGGGCGCTGCTCGGCGTGTTTTGCTCTTACCGTTTATTAAGGATCTCCCTTACGGTGGTACTTAATATGACCTGCAGCCCCTGGCTGAGTCCGAGTCCAATGGGGACCTTGATCTTTGGTCCCGAGAAGCCCTCCAACCCCCCTTTGGATCTTCCAAAAATCCGTGACCGACTAGGGGCCACTAGCCGAGACATGGCCCCCTGGTATGCACTGCGGGCCCCTGAATGACAAAGGGGCCCAACCACTGTTTCTGGGACACAGACCAATTCAAATCGTGGCCCCCGATCTTGCTCCTGCCTGGAAAATGGGCCCCTACAATTCTGACTGACAAGGAGCAAACCGTTCGGTGTTCGTGGTGTCTGGCCAGGTAAGACACCCGCATTGTCTCAAGGGGTACCCAAACGGTACAAGAGAACCTCTGGCGGATACTTCAGGTCAAGACCCTACAGGCTGCAATTCTTTATGTAACCTACAGTCAATCCTTCGGGCTCTTATGCCCTCCAAACCTGGCTTTTGATAGCCTGCTCCATTAGGCCATCCGGTCCCCTCTTCGGGTCTCATCGAGCATTGCTCTTGGCCACCTTGGAGCTCCTTGCAAGCGCAGGCCACTGTAAGGCGCTGCGAGCCCCTGAAAAATACAGGGGCACCGACCAGTGTCATTCACTGGCCCCGGCTTTGTAGCTGATTGGGAAGTGGGCCTTCATGCCTATGCCAATAGGAAGTGGAATGTGCGGCACTGGTGGTGCCTGACCAACATTTAGACCCATATCGACTCAGAATATTCCTCGAACACTGCTTCAGGCCGACCTGGAGCCCTTTGCCAGCACAAGGACCCCCGCTGGGTGCTGTGGAGCCTCAAACACTGTAAATCGCTGGCTCCGGCTTTGCTCTTGCTTGGGAAATGGGACCTCAGGCCCATACCCCCACGAAGCCGACTGTACGTTACTGATGGGATCTGACCCGATATATAAGCACTTATCGACTCAGGGGCCCTGATCAACGCGTAGGCAGTCGCGGCTTATCCGAGGGAGGGGTGGGGTGGGAGGGATACAGCAGCGGGGCAAACTCCACCATATTTGGAAGCAAGGCAAAAGTTTCTTTTTGTCCGCCCCCCATAATTTCAGGTGGCCCAAAAAGGCCCTCGGGTATGTGATAGTACTTGCTTACCATGTTCCAAAGCAAGCGTAAAGGGCCCATATCTGACCCGGAAAGGGCGCATTTTAGGCTCAGAAGGCAATACTTTCGTGTCCGCGAAGGGCCCACGTTGCCCCAAAACTGCCCATTTCAAGACGGGAAAACACTCATGTTACCTCCAGGCACGATATAAGTCCTTTCTAATCTGGAAAAGGCTCGTCACAAGCTCAAAAAGGGCCATCTCAGGTCCGGAAAAGGGCCGATCGTAAGCTCAGAAGGACATTTCAAGAACCTTTCAAGTCTGGAAAAAGTCTGTCATAAATTTAGAAACGGCTCGTCCCAGGTTAGGGAGGAGCCCAATATAGGCTGAGAAACGGAGAACTTTAAACTCGGAAAATTTTTGGGGAAGCCCGAAAAGTGGCCGAAGAGTCACTTGAAACCGAAGATCAAGGTCCCGATTGGAAGGCTAAAGGCTAAGGGCTGTAGGTCACATTAATGACCAGCCCGTAGGGCCGTGATCTCAACTACCAGTTAGCTCTTGCATCGCCTGGGGACCCATGAGAAATATCATTCCTCTATTTTGACCACAGATTACCAGCACCGAACAATCGGCCCCGTGTCGGTCTGAGCTCTGGGGGCCCATTTCCCAAGCAGGGACACGACCGGGACCGCGATTTACATCGGTCATGGCCCCTGCAATAATGTGGCACTCGAGGGTCCACATTGCCGAACAAGGTGTTCTGAATCAGAGAGGGGCCTCAGATCGGTCAAGACAATATTTGCTGAACAGGGACGGGGACGGACCCTGAATGCCAGTGGGCTCTTGCGTTGGTCGGGCCCCCTGACAGTGAAAGGAGACATGACAGCTTGTGATGATCGTTCAAATTGAGGCAATAGAAGCCGTGGGTCCTCCAACCCAGCTCCAGCACGTGCCTGTTAAGCCGAACTGGGGTCGATGTCCCAATTATTGGACCACCTGCGGCGATCAGGAATGTTTCTGTCCAATGAGGGTTTCTGCGTCAATCCGGGGTCAACTGCGGTCTGCGCGGGTCAAAAGGCCTCCGGCGTCAGGGAGAGGAGCGATGTGATATATGTCCCTCTAAGGGCCTGATGATCGGCGAGGGGATCCCGTCCCGTGCCACTAGGATGAGTGCCGGAGGACACCCCACGATGGGACGGCATAGCTCTTCAGCCCTTGACCGGGAACAATAATGTGCCCCTAGTGTTTCAGCCAAGGGGCACTCCCGGAAATAAGGGGTTTTATTGGTGTTGAAAAGAGTGGGTTGAAATGAGCTAAAAAATGAACGAGGCAATTCCATGTTTGAGAACGCGTATTTTTTGCGGAATCCATTAGTGAAACAATTTATCAGAGGGCTTGAGCCTGCGCGCCCGCAATCTCGGAAGCAAGAACAGTGATAGTTTGAGTTACAGTGTCCATACAACCGAGCGGTGTTGGCCTCTGCTAAGTTTTGCGAGCGTGCATGCACAAAACTGCGTTACGTAATTTGTATCAGTTATCAGTTCTGACTGAGTATTGAACATTTCCAGACAAACATTTTTTGGCCATGTTAGTACAAATTGTTGACCCATTTCGGCCTGAATTCGCAGGATCCTTAATATCTCTCGGTGCAGCCGAGATAACTTTCTGACAAAACTCCTGAGCTCCATCTGTTTAAAAAGTCCGCCGGACCATCATTGAACGAAGAGCACCGGTGATTTATTACATGCAGTCGTTGAACGCATGATTTCTTCAGTCCATTGACCTTCAACTTCAGGCAAAATTGATCGCGCGATTGCTGCTGGCTTCTTTCCCAGTTAGAGAAGGTGAAAAATGACAAAAATGAAAAAAAGGCGAAAACATGCCACCATCAACACATGGACCACACTCGGTTATTTTTGGTTAGGGGAAGGAGGGCTTTTATTTTTAGCAAACCCTTTGTCAATTCTGTGCCCCTCCCTTGCCAAAGCTCTGGCTGCGTGCATGCTATGAAATATAGGGGCATCCCGAATTCAGATACACCGCCCCTGTCCCCGGCTCCTGGATCCGCCACAGCTCACAGATGTTGACGAAAGCAACAATATATTTTGATCTAGGACGGACAATTTCATGGAACGTTGGGAAGCGTTAAAATATGGTTTTGCCCACATGTCCCTGCTTGGGCACGAATCGCCAACTTCGTCCCTCCCCGCATCCATTCTTGGATCACAGCCAGCCACCTCCTCCACGTCCCTTGGACACCAGCTTTCGATATTCCTCAGAAGACCCACCATCTACTAATAAGTTGATGTATGGCCCAGACCTATTCTCATTTTTACCCCATGGCTAAATGCCGTTCCTGCCTCTACGTGGTGAACAGCAATTATAACCGTACTAGTTATTGATTCTCTGAGGTCCCGGATGAACTAGTGACATCATTCTAGTGCTGACTAAATCCATCGAATAAGGAATGTACGCATCGGCAGGAAAACGAAACACGAACGCAGTGAGAAGAGCAATATTATCTCTCATGTCTCAAAGAGACTTTGAAGCTTGCATAATTTAGAGAAGTCGAAAGGAAAGAAACGAGTTTGGTAGCAAAATAAGTGAAATCGGCAAACGGACTGATATCGATAGCGACAGGCCCTCCGAATACGTCGCAGACCACCTAGCCGCAAAGGCAGCGGTTCCGTTGTAGGGCTGGTGCTCCATTTGCTACTATACAACTAGAGCTGCGGTCGCAGCCTCTCCTAGCAAATTTAAGAGATGTAAGTATTTGTTCATTGACGATACGGTTTTGGGCATGTAGAGCTCGTGAGCTTGCAGTGTTATCGTATTGTTGAGGGTGCGTCTATTTTGTCTGATAAACAGCAACCGCTGGGCCGCCCTATTTTCCCATCCTTTGTGGTGCCTCAGTTAAATGCTCTCGACAGGGAAAGACGATTGAAATTAAAGGAATCAAGAACATGTCATGTCAGGTATCATTGTTCAAATCATCAAGGAAATATCGCCTGTCTTTAGTGTGCTCACGCGGGTCAACCTTGCAAATTTTTGAAGCTCACCCCATTGTTGACACCTTATTGTGATTGCTTGCAGCTTCACATGCCCCTGTATGGAATTATTTCACTTTTATGCTAGGTTTCCATACAGGGAGCATACTGTCACAGCTGGGTCCAGTCTAGTTTTACATAAATTTCCTGTCTTGTTACTGGTGTACATCAGCATGTTTTCACAGGATTCTGGGTCTCTGTCTGCTGTTCACATCCTCCCAGTTTGCAAAAGATCTCCACTTTGGTGGATGCTTAAACCTCATTGGTGTGCTGAACCTGGCACATTGGAAGTTAAGATTAGGGCAGACCAAGCTGTGCTGAATTGTCAAATAATTATTGCTTCAGGATGGGTTTGGGAGTGATTTTGTCCAAAATTACCTTTCTACCTGACTAGTTCCTTAAAATATTGGCTATCTATGTGCTGAAATTGGTTAGTTACCATACATGTAACACTGAAAGCCTTGGTTTGTGGTGAGCATGTCCTGAGATCATGACTCAAATCATGCTGCCACATTATATTTAGGATTAATTTTTGCTGTGAGGGCATCTGCTAATTGAAGCTGGTTTAAATGATTAAGATTATCAATCAAAGTGTTTTATTTTTGATGCTTTGATGATGACCAAAATAGGAGGTCAAAGTACTAAAGTAGGAAAGGGAGTGCTGCTATGCTACTGACTGCTACTGGTGTGTTTAGTGTGCATACTGAAATTGTTGCATGAGGATTTTTCTGAAACAATTATGAAGGGAACAATGTCATTGTAGCTGTAGTACTGCAGCTGTCAGATGACCAAAGTCAGACATCATTTTTATGATAATCAACCTTCAATATGCAATGGATACTGGTAAGATAATCATGTCAAGTGAATATTGGCTATGCTGCCAAAACTAGATGTTTCAAGCTGTTGCCATGCTGTTAAATCACAAGCACAGCTTGAAATGCCAAGTTTTTCAATAAAACCATTGGCTGCTCAGCAAGGCTGTCATCAGTTATGGTCATTTAGCATGCATTGCCATGTTTCCATGTTTGTGATTATTTTCCTGTTGTAGTCTGCTAGTGCCCAGTATTATAGATATATTGTATAGTTATGTTGTATATGTCTCACACTATATGTTGGGCATTCTTGTGACATTTGGTGCTACCTTTGTGATCAGTGCAGTGTGGACTGCCATGTTATTGTGCTTTATATGTGTTCATTGCAGAGGCATGTCTACTGAACCTGAACAAACAGAAGTGTCGAGCAGTGTTGGTAATGTTGAGTAAGAGACATGATTGTTATCTTAAGGATTTTTCCACAACTTTGAAAATCTTTGCATGATGTACATATTTCAAGTGCTGAAAACAGGATTGTATTTCAAGTCTACTTAAGGCTGGACATTTGACATAGTATTTATTGAAAGCTGCAATTAGCTTAGCTGATCAGCAAATGCTCCCCATCAGAAAACATGTGATTCATTTTGTGTTGCTTAGCCACATTTGTCTTATGTCTGGTTAATTGTCTGCATTTGTACCATAGAACTGGTATGTGCTGTATATAGTTTGCATGTATGTAATGCCTTGGTGCCTATCAGGGCACTGAAATCCACCCACTTATAGATAATATGATTAGATGTATATTCCCCTCATACTTGTGCCTGATACTTTATGGCAGAGCTGCTATTCTTCCATTATATGCTTTTATATCAAACATCTGTGGTACATGTCTTCTGTGCATAATTACCATCACACAGCTTGCTGCCACTTGTTGGGTTTCAGGTGGCACTCCTACCCTTACCTGAAGATCCTAGGCTTACAGATCATGTTGCACCAGGGTAAAAAGGAAGCATAGTGGGCACCACATTACAGGCAGCAATTTTACAAGACTAGATAAGGCATGGATAATGTGAATTTCAAAATTACCTTCATACTTACAAAATCAAACTCAGGTTAAACTTTTGGTAAATATTTTATATTTTATGCAATAAAATGGTAATACTTGATAATTAAATCATTCCATCACATAATCCCCACATTTTTCTACTACGTCTATGATGTTCCATTGAAAATGCCAATTTTGTGGCACTCCTCACCTGGGCTTAGTTCTACCATAAACTGCAAATTAGGAAGATTAACTTGGCTTTATTCACTTGCACCCAAAATACTTCTTCATCATTGCAACTTATTTGTGATTGTCTTGAACATGTGAGAGCCTACAAGACCTGATTTCGATAAGTGTGCCACTAAAAACATGTGCTGAGCGTGCCACTGAAAACATGTGATTTCCGTTAAAAAATCACAACTGTTTAAAAGCATGTAAGCTGCTGCACTTCATTGTTCACATAGGCAGCTGTTGCACTTGATGTCAAACACATTTCAGCTATTCTACTTCTTTGCCTTGCTCTGGCACTGAAACTGTATCATGTAAGGTGACATACCACTAGTGCACTGGTTAAGCTGTGTGTTTGAAACCAGGGTTACAGGGTTTGACAACTGCAGAACCCTCCCTTCAGCCAGGATGGCAGGCAGGTGGCAATACGTGACCTCAGCAGCTGAGTGTGTCATCAAACTCATTGCAGCAAGTGATAGTGATGTCTTTCATGACATGTTTAGTTCTGTCTAGAATTTGTGCAAGCCAATAACCCTTGCTGATGATTCTTTAGGTCTGTGATTGAAATAACTGCTAAACTAGCATTGCTTTCACTGGGGGCCATGTGCAGTTTTATGTCTGTAAAAGCTTTACTCTCAGATTTAAACTTGTGTTTTTCCATGTTTGCAAGCTGGAGGCTCCTTTTAAAGCCTGATAATGCAAGCACATGATATTGAAATGTGATGGCTCTGCATTGCAGCAGTTGCAGCAGTGTTACAAATGCAGTCTTAGTGATGAAGATAGATTGTTATAAAAATGAATGACACTGGCCACATGCATGGGCCCAAGAGACAATGGCGCTGTTGATCTTGTGCTTTGTGGTCATGGCTGGCAGCAGGCAGAGCTTCAAGTTACCTTTGGTGTTCTATTTTTTCCCATTGCCAGCCTTTGGTGATCATTTATTGCATGTTCAATGGAATGAATATTAGCTCTGGTCTTTCCCATGTCTAGTGATGTCAGACACAATGTTTGCCCAAATTTTCAGCATGTGTCCAACGCATGTACATGATGTCTCCATTGCGTTTTCAATACTATTGACAACGTTCCGACCTTCGCCTTCCACACCTAACATGCCATGCATCTTTGGCATGTTTCCACATACCAACTGGTGCACCCAGCTCCTCGCCGCCACCATGTGACGTTCCGATCATACGACAGGTCGACGGAGGGAGGCGTGCCAGGAGAGGGGGGCTCCGACGCCCCCGTGGGTGGGCCGCGGAACCCCCAGCAGATCGCGGCCCAGAAGCGTGTCCAGCAGTCCCAGGCCCAGGTGGACGAGGTGAGTGACGTCACGTCGCGCGGGGCGAGGGGGGGGATGTCACAATCGACTGAGACTCGGGGGACAGCTGTAAAACCCGCGACTAGTTAACTGAATCCTGTTTATGTAACAAATTGTTCGTGTTTCATACGTTTGCAGAATTCGTGTGCCGAGTCACTGATAAGCTCTGTGCGCGAACTCGCTGCCAGTTTGGTGGTATCCGTGCTCGCCATGTTCATACATCACTAGGGAAGTTTTCTTTTTTCGTGTTTTATCGCTCATAAGTTCCGAACAGCGCACTTTTGTAGCGTTTTGTTTGCTTTAATAATGAGCCCGTTTCTTTACTACTGATTGCCATTTTGTCAGCCGTTACATAGTTCCGACTTTCCCAGTGCTCTGGTTCGTTGGCCGTCTGATGGTGCGTTTTACTAAGTTGATTATGTTTTGTGCCACCTTAGGTTGTTGGAATCATGAGGGTGAATGTTGAGAAGGTGCTTGAGCGAGATCAGAAACTTTCAGAGCTGGATGACAGAGCAGGTAACCATCTGACCACTTCATCTGGCCGGGGCGGCACGCGAAGCCCCGCAGGCACCCACTCTGAAGCCGTTTGGCTGTGACACCGTGCTAGCGCCGCCGGGCTTCGCGTGACGCCCGACGGCTCGCTCCCTCCGCGTGTGACCCCTGCACTGGCCTCTACGTCAGGTGGTGGACATAATGCGCACCAACGTTGAGAAGGTGCTGGAGCGGGACCAGAAGCTGTCCGAGCTCGACGATAGGGCAGGTCAGCTGGCGGCACCCCTCCCCCGGTCTCGGTAGAGCTGCGCATGCGGTCCGCCCGGCACGCGTGTCTCTGTCCCTGCACTGCATGCTGACCGCCGACTCCGTCGTGCGCCGCGCTGCTGTCGCGCCAGGCCGGCGCCGCGATGACGGAAGGCAACGGCAGCCGGTAGCTCGGCTCGAGACACTGGCTGGCCCCGACTGAAATTGAGAGCAAGTGGCTTAATGGGAGGGAGACCTCTGATGGTATGCCATGGTGCCACATTCATTGGGGCTGTTGGCAAAGTGCCCACCTATTGACACGTACTTGTTTCGGATACGTTATCGGTGATCATCTCATGATGCAGCATGGGCGGCACAGCATAACGGTTCTCGGCGAGCGAGGGTTGTGTCGCACTTCCTTCCCCAAGGGGTGTGTTGGGTTTTGGTACCCCTGGTGTCGGTCTCGGCTCAGCGCGCCAGTAGAAGGTACGAGCCACCATTGCTCTGGTGTCTGTCGCGATCCGGGGCTTTCTGTGCGCACCTCCACCCGTCTCTCTGGTCATCCCCTTCACGTCTATCACTCTTGATTTGGTCACGTCCGCCGTTTTGGGTTTGGTCGCGTCTGCCGTTTTGGGTTTGATCGCGTCTGTCGTTCTGGGTTTGATCACGTGTGTCACTCTGAGTCTGGGTCGTGGCGGGCGGCGGAATGCTTTCTGTAGATATGAATTATAATTTTATTCTGCTGACTTCCGGATCTCTTCGGCCCCTGCTGAACATTGAAACGAACAAAGAAACGTAACTTTGAAAGCTGTCGGTTTGGTGAACTTTGAAAACGGTTTGGCGTTTTTCAAGTTACCTTGAAGCATGGCCTGTTACTTGTTATCATCCTTTTAGTGCCATTTTACGTGTCGGAACATCTGCTTTCCTATTTAGATTATGAAATACAGCAGGCTGAAAGCATAAAAGGAATGATTCATTCTAAAAAATTCCAAACTTGTTAAGTGATTCACACCCTCAATGCCGAAGTCATGTCAGATATCCCATATATCATGCACATCCACATAGATGTTCGGCAGGTGACCGCTGGGGTACGGGCACTGCTGCATGCCCCAGCTGGTCACGGTCCTGTGCAGCAGTAGGCCCACGCCGCGGAGGAAACTTCGCTCCACTTAGTTCACGTCTCTCTGGCTGCAGTACATTCTCACCTTCCTTCCTGTTGTATGGGCGCCAGATGACCAGTGCTTCCGTCGGGCCCTTAAACCCCAGTCATCATCTTCGTTGTCAAAAGTGCCGGCAGCGTTCCCGCACCGGCACGCGGGATTGTTGTATCCTTCGACCGTTTTTATTTCAACATGCTTGTCTCACATGTCACGACAATGCCCAGGCAGTGCAGGATGTTTAGTGACAATCATTTTGCAGACGCCCGTTGTTTTACGGCCTGACACGTGGCACGCACCTTGGAATATCTTGTAGTTTGCGGACCTCATTAGTGCAAACCAACTTCACCCGACGCACCGTTGTCCGTGGCTGCGATAGGCCGTGTCTTTTGTATGCTTGGAAATGATCAGTGCCTGTTGGCCACACGGGCCGCTGTTGGTGACACGCCGCTCGCGCACGCCTCTGACCCGCCGTTTCCGTTTGACCAGACGCCCTGCAGCACGGCGCCTCGCAGTTTGAACAGCAGGCCGGCAAGCTGAAGCGCAAGTTCTGGTGGAAGAACTTGAAGGTGAGCTCTCGGTCCGGCCCGCCGCCGACCGTCGTAATACGTGTGATGACGTCAGCGCGCGCGCGCGCGCCGCGATTCCGATCAGCCCGCTGGCCTTTGGCGGCCCGTATCGGCCGATATGCCGGTTTACAGCGTGACGTGGGTTAGTGCTTCATGAAGTGTACGGGGTCTGTGCGTCAGCCGATGTGCCATCATATGACTGCGTGTAACGCAGTCGCGAGGAGAGAGTAACGCCCGCCTCTGTCCCGCTGCCTCACTAGATGATGATAATCATGGGGGTCATTGCGGTGATAATAATTGTCATTATCGGAGGTAAGCCGGCCGCCGTTTGGGAGGCACGCTGCTGCACGTCACGGATGGTATCTAGCGTCCCGGCCGCGGGGCGAGCACGAGAGACGGGCGCCGGCCACTCGGCCCGCCCAGCGGCGCGGCGGCGGACGGGCGGCGCGGCCTCCGGCGCCCGACCTGGCCGTAGGGCCGCGGCACGCCGGCGGCCCGGCTGTGGACCGATCGGTCCGGACTCGGTTCAGACCGAGCTGTGGACCGCTCGGTCCCGGCTCGGTTCAAACCGAGCTGTGGACCGCTGGGTCCGGGCTGGGCTTAGACCGAGCTGTGGACCGCTGGGTCCTGGCTTGACTGAGACCGAGCTGTGAACCGCTGGGTCCGGGCTGGGCTTAGACCGAGCTGTGGACCGCTGGGTCCTGGCTTGACTGAGACCGAACTGTGGACCGTTCGGTCCTGGCTCGGCTCAGACCGAGCTGTGGACCGCTCGTCCCGCTCCTGCCGAGTGGGGCGGGCTGCTCCACTGCCCGTCTGACCCAGCTGGAGGCAGCGGACGCGGTTGGACGCCGATGGTCCTGCCCTCCCGTCCGCCGCTCATTGGGTTTGGCGATTGTAGACTAGAGCGCGTTTGAGCGGTCGTTTGGTGCCTGGCTTGGGAATTATTTACGCGTTGGTTTTCAGTTGGTTGCGCCGCCCAGCCGTCTTGGCTGGCTGTGCAAGCACTCGTTTGTGGGTTATTCACTTTTCCCATCTCACGTTTCATCATTCAGAGCACAAGGTTATTCGAGCCATTTTCTCCGGTTCCTCACTGTTTCTTTTCATGTTTATTTCAGATGTGGCTGATTATTGGTGTTATAGTCATAGTGCTTATCATTATCATTGCCGGTAAGTGGATTTTATGTTTTTGTTTCGCCCTACAGGCATGCATGGTTTAACGCTTGTTGCACCGCGCACTTCGTTACTGCCATGGTGTGCTTGAAAGACCTTGCGCTTGCTAGAAAGTAAGCGTTGTTGTTAATATTACTTAGTGACAGATAGACACCTGTTTTATAGTAATACCAGAGATTACTGCGTCTAGAGTAGCATAATATGGTGACTGTGATCAATCGTGCGTTTACCAGCGTAACTCATGTTATCAATGAACGATAGCATCGACACGATGTCTAGTCTTCAGTCTATCACGGCATGCTTGAGCGACGTAGCCGTAGCCAATACCGTCCAAGACACGATGGCTTTCGGCGCGCGTGAGTGTACGTGTGTCTGTCTGCGTATGTCGCTGGGAGCTAACGGCCACCTCTCTCCTGCCGCCGCGCCCGTCGCCACAGTTAACTTTATGTAACGCCAGGTCAGCAACAGCGCGCGGCCCCGCCGCCGCCGCCGCTGCCACCGTCTCTGTCGCCCTTCTCTGTCTCTGTCTGTGTCTGTTGTCTGTCTGTGTGCGCGCACGCGCGCCTCACTAACTGTACCCGTCTGCCCTGCCAGCCAAGTTTATGTAACCGGGCCCAGCCAGGTCAGATTCCCTCACACTCGGTCACGTCACCCTGGCCTGCCCGGCCGCCGCCTGCGTGTGCTGCACCGCCGCGGGCAGCTGCCTGCGCGCTCACGCCCCGCTCGACACCGGCCCGCTCGCAGTGCGCTGCCGCTTCCCGCAGCCGTGGTCCGCTCCCAGCGCGCTGCCGTCCGTCCTCGCTCCTACCGCCCCCGCCCCGCCCCGCCCCCACCACCGCCCCCACGCAGTCGGCCATCCGCCAGCGCGATTGCGTATCACAGCGACGCCGCGGCTGTCTGGTGTCGCCGCAGCCGCCGGCTCCGTTGGGGCCGGTGTGGGCGGTGCGAGCCGGCCGGGCGCGGCCGTACGCAGCCGGCGGCGCGGCGCCGGCTGCGCACCTGAGCCGGCCGCGGGGGCGGCCGATCGAAGCTCTCCGGCCGGCCCGGCCGGCTGGCGGTCACCCAGCCATCGATCGGCACCAGAGCGAGCCGGCCGGCCGGGGTCGCTGGACGCCGGCCTCCGCCCACCCCGGGGCGCTGGCCCGGGCCGCACTCAGGCCAGAGTCAGTGGACTGCGTCGGGCATTGTCAGACGTGGCTAGCGTGTGGTTTGGTCGCTCGGAGGTTTCTAGACGGCGTGCGCGTTAAGTTAGGGTCAGCGCAAGCCTCTGTGTGTTTGGGGTGAAAATGTCGATGCTTTGCGGCAGGAGAAAGATCCGGTTCTGGGTGTTCACTCCGATTCACATTGACCTCACTCGAAACGCTTCTGTGAGATGACCACGCGCGCTTGCGGCCGCTCAGAGATGCCATGGCAGCAGCGCTGTCAGGGATCGATCGAGCGGGGTGACGGGGCGCGTCAGCTGCTGGCGAGAACCGGCAGAAGGCGGCCGGGGGAGGGCAGTCTGTGTCATCAGCAGACCGCGGCGCGGCGGCTGGCCTCCGGTCGATTGGTGTCGGCCCGGGCCCACCGAAGGCCGGCGGCCCGGGCGACCCTGGCCGCCGGTGCTCGTCTCATTCGGCGGCCGGCCGGCCAGATGTGCGACCATCTGCGTGCGCGCGCCCGTCACCGCTGACGCCCCGAGCCCGCCCGACGTGTGCTCCGCCCCCGGCCGCCAAACCACGCACACGGGCGACGCCCACCCGCCGCTCACCCCCAAAACGAGCTCTTCTGATATATCTCGGCCAATACAAAGAGTAAAGTAAACTCAATACCCAGCTTCCGTGCTGTCTGAACCGGTTGTCTTCATCGTTTTAGAAAACTGATGGTGCGCCGAGCCATTAGCCCCCCCCCCCCCTTCCCCCTCAATACTCACCCCGGTGTTCGGTGAGTTGATCATCGTGCGCGGTCTGCAAGTCAGTCTGCAATAGTCTACGAGCTTAGATCCCTCCGCGATCTCTAAGTCAGTAGCCTTTTACGGTGTCCGAGAGACGCAGTCCTTCATTGTCCGAACAGTTGCGCGCCTGGCCATTCGAGCCGATTCGTCATCCCACGGTCCGGGCAGCCGGTAAATGACGTGCGGGAGCTGACGAGAAGGCCGCGTCTTCGGCGCGCTTGCATGCGAAGCTGGCTCGTGTGCCGGACCGGCGCTGGTGGCTCGGAGCTGGATTGTGTGCCGTATGAACCCAGCATGATACCCACGAGGGCTGCCACGCCGTCACGCTTGTAGTGCGGGGGTGCTGCCTGAGACCGTTTCCAGCTTTTGTCGCTCCGGTGCTACTGCTTGTGGTGATTCTTCTAAGACTTCGGCTTTCTTGTTCTACTGCTTGTGAAACCCTTTTCAAGCTTTTGGTGTTCTAATTCCTTGGTATAGTCATGGTACCCCGTATGTGTGCGTTTATTTGTGATCATCAAAGCCTGATGGCCTCTTACCCTTACATTACCCCGTTTCGTTTCAGAGCGAAAGGTGCTGTCAGTTTAAGCTCGCCTTTGTGCATAGCAAATTTATTATCAACCCCGTCTCATCACAAAGTTATCGTGACAATGCATGACTTCTGGCTCCTCTATACCATAATATAATGTATTCATCACTCAGCACTCGGTTGTTGGTCCGCTTGACTATCAGGACATTGATCCATCTTGGTGAAAGATGGGAGGTTTGTATGCTTTAGTGACCACTCTTCATGAGGTTGGTGTCAGGACCTCTGGCTGGCCTTCGTCTAACATGCATTCCGGCCGCTGGTTGCCGCTAACTGGTGCCTGTGAACTCCGCTGGCCGGGCTGCACGACGCTGGCAGGCGTGTGACCCGGCTCAGTCAGGGGCCCGCTGTCGAGCCCGCCCGGTCACTGCCCGGCCTCTGGTGCTGCCAGCCTCGGTCAGCCCGGCTCTGTGTGCGAGACGGGGGTCGGTGCGGCTTAGGTGTGCGGCTGCTGGCGTTGTGTCGGCCCCCAGCCCCCGTGGCCGGTCGCTCCCCGCCCGCGCCTCCCCACTGTACCGTGTGTGCTCGGTCGTCACCGGTTACTGCCGACTACCAGAAAGTATCCGGCACTAGCCGGCTCAGCTCTAACTGATCCAGCTAGATTTGCAGGCCGTTGTTTTACGGATCTTTGACTGAATTGACATTCGGTCGTACATAGTGCACGGAAGCTGGTCTGGTGCGCCCCACCCTGAGTGGTGAGGGCGGTTTCCGAACGAGCACATACAGCGGACGGGGACGCTTGGCCCACCGGCCGGCCACGCTCGCCGCTACTAACCCCGCTAACCGGCGCCGCTCTGCTTTCACGCAGCCGGGAGCTCGTAGGCGGGCGGTGCGGCCCGGCCCAGTGCGCCGTCCCGGCCGGCGCCGACGCCGGCGCCGCCGGCTGGCCCAGGTCCAGGGGACAGCCGGCGGCGCCCCGGAGACGAGGCCCCGCGGCCGGGGCCGGGGCCCGGGGCCCGGGTGGGAGGTGTGACGAGCCGCGGAGGGCAGCGGGGTGCGTGTGGGGCGGACAGCTGGCTACGTAGAGTGATGTCTGGGAGCCGGGATGCGTGGGCCTGGGAGCGTGGTGCAGTAGTGCATGCTGCGGTTGTTGGTGTGGCTGGGCTTGCCTGGTGAGAGACCTGCGACTATAAAGATCCCCGCGTGTCACCGCTTACCGGATGTGTTTGTTGCACGCCTCCGGGGATACCCCGGGGTGGAGATGCCTCACGTTACGCTAGGAAAGTCCGCAGCCCTCTGTGCCGACACACACCTTGGTGCTACTGTGTGTCCGTCGTTACCACTGTGGTGTGCCCGTGTTGTACGTGACCCTGGAGCTGCCAGTACTGTGTGGCGTGTAGTGGGTGTGAGTGGGTGTGCGTGCGAGAGACCCCGTGTCCTGTGACAGGGCGAATGTGTGGCGGGTGTAGCGGCTCTGTAGAGTCTGCGTCAGTTTTCACGCCATGATCTCACCGGCCCGGCCGGTCCCAGTGTCGTGTCCGCAGTCTGCGTGCCCGCCTCGTGGTCACCGCGAGCGGCCGTTTTCATTGATTTCTCCCGTTTTGTTTTAGTTTGGGCCAGCAGCTAGAGGGTCAGCTGCCACGGGGAGCGCAAGCCTACATTCCTGCGTTCGATGTGATAAAACACGGCTTCTGTCGTCGGTCGGCTTTACCTATTTCGGGGTGATTGTCTCTTGATTTCTGTCGATTGGCTAGTCATCGATGGTTAATGGAAACGGCATCTTTCTCGTGTTTGCCGCACAGCCGAGACGTGTAACATATTGTACATGTACTGCGCAGGGCTTGCTCTTCATAATTGTCTCCTGGTCTCCGTTTTGGCGTGATGTGATCGATGTCCACTAGCGGATGTGTATTATATATACCACCTCAGTAGCCGCATGAGCGTACCTAGCCGTGTCATTATTTATGTGCGTATATATATCCACATACGATAGAGCGACGGCCGGCCGGGTGAGGTCGGTCGCGCCGCGGCCGCCCTGCGCGCCGTGGCCCGCGCCCGCTCCGGGATAGTGTAGCGTGCCTGGGTCACGTGTCGGCGCCGGCTATCACTAAATATACGCTAATGCTAGCAGACCGCTGGTGAACTATCGCTATCGCGTGGAGCGATTGGGGAAGGACGGTATGCGTGGATGGAACAACAGTCGCAGCGGGAGCTGGAGATGGCCACAGGTCACACCGAAATGACTTGACAGTCTGATGGGTCTGGTACAGCACGCTGCACAAATGAGGATAATGAGCAGGCGCTGAAAGGTAGTTAGTGCAACGGGTAAACGAGAAAATAATACACTCGAAGCCCGCTAATTGCCAACTTAAAAGCTTTTTAGAATGTGCAAGCAAATGGAAGATTCTTCCCTCTTTTTTGGTACGCCACGTGTGCACGCAGCCACTCTTATACCCAGCGACGAATAGCCTTAACTGCCTAGTCCGTACGATGAGAATTATGGCAATCCTAGGTACAGCCAGTCGCTTTCATGTCGCCCTCGACACAGGCAGGCGCACCGCCCACGCGTAGTGCTATCGGAGCTTCCGCCGCCACGGCTGGTTTTTTCTTAAAAGAGAGTTTTCCAAGATGTTAATTGCGTTTCTTTGTGGTGTGATAGAAGCCAGAGAGGCCCATGGAGCCCTGGTTCTTTAGCATGTAGTTTTGGGTTAAAAATTCCTATCTGCAATACGACTCGGAAGGTCGTGGTTTTGTAAGGCTACTGGTTCAACGAATATACAATTACGCGACTTCTCTACGTTTCAAGTCAACGCTCATAAGTCACGCATGGACGAGGGTCAGCAACAGTTAAGTCCGAAAACTTAAGGTGCTTGAGCGACAAGTATTCTGACTTAATGCATACTGCTGTTTATGTTCATTTTTGCCTGAAAACCTTCCCCGACCTGGACAAGGCAATGGAGGCCTGGAGTCTTGATTTTGTCTGTAATATGGCCTGCATTTGATGGCTTACGAACAGTATTTGTCTTCAGTTCTTAGCAGTTGTAAGGCCAGTAAAATGATACACCCACATCGCTGGCAGATTAACGGAAATGTCGGGAGTGTCCTAAAAAATGAGGAGCGAACTGACGTCGGAAAAGGCCCACTCATTCCACCTCAGGTTTTCCCGTGTCCAAAACACGGCAGGTGTTTTGTATCACTGCTCTCGAAAGTTTGATGCCTTCCTTACATTCCAGACACTTTTGTCTTTTTCACCGTCTTGAAGTGGTTCAGAAATGTTATATTCTTCTATGGTGTTAAGATCTGTCACCGTTTCAACCAATACTGCTGAAAATAAACATTTCATCTCATTACTTCCGTTGCAAGTTTTCGCCCTCAATTGCCTACCTTAAACGAAACTGAATAGTTTGTTATTTATGCCCAGTTTTTCAGGCATACCTTACAAGAACACGCGAAAAGTAAACACGCGTTCTTAAACTGACGCCTATACCCACTTTAAATTTGGAGTGTCTACGCCATTAGTTCTCGCATAAGATAGTGCGACATGCCTGCACAACATTTTTTATCCAGGTTGTGTGGCCTCTGTTCAAGGAGCACTGATAGATTGACCCTAATATTGAGCAGTGTTCAATTTCGGGATTCCCATATTGGCATCCGATTCTGAAGATGCCAAAAAAACTTGCATCACAAACTTCATTAGCCTTGGGTGTCGATTTCTCAAAATGGGCGGGGGGCAGAGTCTTGGAGTTCACCATAAGAGAACAGATGCGGAAAATCTCGGAATGGATGAAATATATATATATATATATATATATATATATATATACATGTATGTATATCTTATGTGTACAGAATAATAGTGTCCACAATGTGTCTGACTTTGCCTCTCGTTTACATGAAGCTCCCTGGCATTCCAAAATATTCATCGATAAACCAAACACATTTCAGTTAATGTTAAACGAAGCATAACTACTCCGCACATTATTTCAGAATACGCTTTCAACATTTCCCCAAATCGCTAAGACTCATGCCATCCTCTTCGTGACTTTCCCTGCTTACTTCATCAAACGCGCATTGCTAGCCAGCTGTAATACATGAGTACACCGTTCCAAGCTGTTGTGCCAGTGAGTGAAAAGCAACTCTAACCCACTTCAGTTGTTCAGCGCATTAACGAGGAACAATATTCACATAGAAAAGACAGAGGTATTAGCCTTATTCCTCGCCAAAAACAGGGGAATGGAAATATAATCAGGTTGATATTTCAGCAACATGCCTTTATCGAAACAATAGTAGAAGTGGAACTTCTGCTATTGTTTCGATAAAGACATATTGCCGAAATATCAACCTAACTATATCTGCATTCTCCCGGTTTTTCCGAGGAATAAGGCTAATGCTACTGCCTAACCAACTTCAGTTCGAATGCATAACAAATAAAACTACCATAATGTCAACGTCACGCGCAAGGCAGGTTGATTGTAAAAGAGTTCCTAGTTGAGCTGGCTCCTCATTGACCATGTTCGTCTTAGAAGGAAGGGAGGTTCGTCGTTCAGAACCGAGAAGTGTAAGAATTACATAACATAGCTTTGGCCACGCGAGGTCTCAAGCCTCAGAACAAATATCGCGTTACATTGCATTGCAGTGTACACTGGCCGCGTGTTGCCGGCTCCCCTGCGTATATTGATCAGGCGGTTGTCGCTGAGTGGATGAAAACGGCAGCGTTTCTGAAGGAGGTACCTTTGAACGTTTTAGGATGTCAATTCGTGCGATAAGAGGATAGTTCGGGAGCATGTTTCACCTGTGTAATTTATGCTCCTATAAAAGGAACGGATTAACACTCGCAGCACTGCGAACCGGTGACGGAGTTTGATGGTGGAGGTAGAAAAGCAACCAAAAAATCCCTCTTTTCATGTTGCTGGCGCTCTTTATATAATCAGAAGACATCCACAACATTTTGCTCGCAAAATTCACACCCCTGTCTAATTTTTTGAGCGGTACGAACTCGCTTTGGAAGACTTTCAGAGGCATGATTTCACGACGGTTGTTCTCGCGTGTCAGACGCCCGCCGCCCGGTGTTGGCCCGCCAGCGCCGCTCGGTTTGATGGAAGCTGCACCCGCGGCCATCCGTGATGTTGCTTGTAAGACTGCAAGTACGCAGGGCCAAAGTTTCCTATGAAATTTATTTCACATGTTGCTCCACGTCAAGGATGGACGCATAGGTGTAACTCTAAAGTACGTTTCGGGGAGAAGGGCTCAGCGAATAAAGTTGGCCTAATCTATCCCCAAATCCGGATTTCTCCCTGGATTTCCACTACTTTGACCTGCGTCCATGATATCGAAATTAAACTTAAAAAAATAAAATTTCGTCGGTTCCAAAATTGTATCGATATTGAGGAATGACTTCCCTTCTGAAACCGATTTTGAATTGGTGACGGTGTATGGAGATAATGGTATACATTGTAATGTGTTAAGAAACCTCTGTACCAGCAGTCCAAACACTGCGTAGTGTTTCCCTTTCCGCTCATGTGTATCGGGGATGGGCGTTCCGAAGAGCATGAAAGAAGCCTAAAGAGAGTGTTCCACATGTGTGTGGGGTTTTTAACTAAAAGTGCTATTTTGAGGATCATTTGATGCAGCTCACGGTCCTATCCTTCTCAAAGGGAATATTCCACATTTAACCATTTCATATGATGAAAAAAGCTTACGTATAACCAACTGCATAATTTTAAGTGGAAAGACTGCTGCAGACAACACAATTTCTCTTTTTGGTGAATATGCTCTTCAGCACGTCATTGTTTGGAACGTTATCGTACCTGGCACAGCAATAACTGAAAGCCAATCCATGGCCATAATATCTGGAGATCGCGCGTGCGAACGCCAGACATGAACAACTTGACAATTACGTTTGTTTTGAACTCGATCACCGCATAGCAGATGGAATAGCAGGATTTGACTGACTGGACGATGTCTGGACTTGAGTGATACCATAGCGTCATGGATGCCTGGATGACCTTGAAAGGTCTCCCGAAAAAGTCTGAAATCTTTGCAGACTCGTGTAGCTCAGAAATTCGACAGGTTCAGATATTCGGAACGGCAGGGCTGTGCACTGCACCGAATGATCTTCACATAGGCGTAGGAACGTTTCAAAAAGTGGGGGGGGGGGGCGGGCCCAGGGTGTATTTCAGAAACTTTTTATGGAAAGCGAGCCCGATGACCGGGGGGGGGGGGGGGGGTTAAGGATGGAGGCCGTTATCGCTCCTCTTCAAATGTCATGGCTGCTATGCTAGATGTGTATCTAGATCTGTTTCCCACTCGCGCAAAATCTTGCCTATTCGACTCATCTGTCATTTGGCAAATAAGGCTATCCAGTATAATATTCGTCCATTTTAACATTGTCTTTCCTAAGGAGGCGAAATTCCACGAGCTGGTAGGCATTTTGGGTCATTCAGAAATCATCCGCCTCCACAGTGTAGATGCCAAAAGACGGCCTGGATATAGACTGGTGAGGATTTTGAAAGTGGATCGATGGCTTACAGTGCGACAAATTTTTCATGCGCCCTCATTTCGCTGGCTGCTTTTAAGAGATAAGACTTGGCGCAGCATTTTAGGCGGAAACAAATTCGGTAGCTTGAAACTGCTAGAAACAACCTTACAAAAGCCATAAAACTGGAGATTCTCTTTTAAGAATCAAGCCACATAATGAGGCCCATCTGTCGTATGTTCCTTATCTGGGCCCTGCCCCTGTCCGCCGTCTGTGGCCACTGCCCGAGCCCGGGTGTCTCCCGCATGACTGACTGCGAACTGATCGTATAGCTGTTTTGTTGCATACTTTTGGATCAGCGTTACTATACATGGTGCATGAAACATGTGTTGGACACCTGCAAGAGTATCTTTTTCAGAATTATCTTCCCCCACACCACACCATCGCAGAAAAATAACCTCCGGGAAGCTGTATGCCTTAGATATGAATTAGCCCAACGGACACTTCATTGCCCATCATGCAACGCACACGACTTGATCTGCTTCTGCATGTAGGCAGGGGCGTAGCCAGAGCCTTGCCAAGGGGAAACACAAGGTTGACAAAAGCCCATCTTGTGGTGATCCCCCCAAGATCCCCGGATGTAGCTTACTTGTTAAC